AAATAAAGGACTGATGAATATAATACGCGGCAATAAATTAATTAGAAATCAGATAAAGGAGTAGAGAAGGTGTGCGCATCGATGTAACAACAAACTGTGTGTTTGTTTGTGAAGATGTACATATCGCGGGATACGCAGACAAAACGGTAAACAAACAAAACCGATAACACTTCGTACGTTCAACCGGTGCGCGGAGTCCGCCGTTTGCATGCGATATAACTATTCTCAGCAGAAGCAAGTAGCCAATCAAATAACAATAATCCATCTCTCGGTTGCGGGATGTTTTCCAATATTGGTATTCTCAGAAATAACTGGATAAAGAAAATCGTATAAAACACACACGAAGCAGGCAGTCCGCTTGTGTCGTTGCAATTCTTTTATCTATTAATTAGAATTCTTGAAAGAAGACGCAAAATAAAAAAATGTTAAATATTGAAATATTTCGGAATGAATATATATATTCTTCTCAGAGAAGTGTGGTATTTTGTTTAAAATAATAATTTTCTCCAAACAAACAAATATGAAAAAAATAGAGCAATATATTCTTCTTTCAGATGTCACCTCAATTTCAGATGTTTCGGCGTTTTATTAAAAAATGTCAGGTCTTGCAATTTATAAGTGTCGCGCATAGTTCACGCAGCAGGGAATGTTTATTTCTATACAGCACCGTTTCCTTACATCTTGTAAGACTTGACCCGAGATATCATCGCAATGCCCGACACATTCCCGTCATAAAATCCTCCGTATATTGGAACTAAAAATATATTTTATTTGACAAACATCTAGTATTTACTAAAGAAATACGCGCTCTCGCACAGGCATACATATAGCGGTGTTTATCGCATTGACCCAAAATAATACGATCTCATATCCTATTAATGCATTTATTATGCATGACGTCCCAGGACTTCCTCATTTCTTTTCTAGAACGCCTTATATCTCGTATGGTTTTTTTCTTGCACGGATCCAGCGTGTTATCATTTTTATTTCAATAAGGGGAGACATTGCGAAGCGAATATGGACTTTCTCCTCTCTGGCAGAATTTGTGAGTAGATATGTAAATAATCGCTCGATCAACCAGAGATATCTCATCTCCGTAAAAAAAGAAGGAAAAGGAAAATATGAGCGTACATCAAACGTGAAAAACGAGAAAAAAAGAGTAGCGACTACGTAAAATTACTTTCCTTTTTTGTTCTATTTTTCCCATCAGCCATCCTATCTTTCGGCCGTGTTTATTTCCACCATACATATCCGAAAGATAAAAAATTTTTTTCAACATCCAATCGTGATTGATCGACTAAGTCCATATACGGGATTTGAATTCGGTACAACTTGTTTGCGATGAAAAATCGCATAAATGAATAATGATTAACATTGCTGAATTTTGAAATAGTTGGATAGATGCAGATATCGTAGAATGATAAAAAAAAATTAATTATATGATGATGAAAAATTCAATGAATAGCAATAATTAATTATTTACACTATTTCATTTATTATATTTGATATAATTGAAAATGTAGCATCACTTTTCGACTGTCATTGTTCGAAATCTTTTGCAGACCGTCTGAATTACAGTAAAAAATGGCACAAGTACGCGACTTTCCAAAAATAGAGTCTTTTGATTTACGAACGCAATTCTTTTCTATCGCATATTTGCCCGACTGCGTGCAAACTGCAGTCTATTATCATCGAGTAAGTTTTTGAGAACAAAAAAAAAACGGATTTCTCCAGATTATGAATTATTGATAGTACATCTATATGAACTTAAAAGCCAGCATAGAATGACGGAGAATAATTTATTTAATTAACCAAATCCAGTTTTTTAGCACTTTAAGCTGTAGATTCTAAACCGAGAGAAAGTTCAATGAATCTTTTTCGTAGTGTTTAAGGGGAGTCGACAAAATAAAATAGGTTAAATGAATTTCTGTTATAGCATTCGACGATATTAAAATCGCGAGATAAGATGGACGAAAAGATTTCCATTTTTCTGGTTGTCCTTCTCGCGATCGGTGGTTTGATGATGATGACCGCACTACTGGCTTGCTACGCATGCATCTTTCGAGACTTATGTTGTCGACCAGAAAACAGATCCAAAAGGCGGCGTCAACAAAACTCCCAACGAGAACTCGATAATCCCAATAGAATACGATTAGACGCCATACAATTGAATGATATCACGCAAGGGGAAAGTATGCCCACAGAATCTGAAAAGCTTTAAACGTTAAAGACTTGAATGAAAAGAGAATATTTTTAGGAGTAGTAAATGCGATCACAAAAATAATGCGAAGTGTGGAATAAAATATAACAAACGCATTGATGAGAGAAATAATGATGAAAGTCTGGTCGAGTATACATTTGTTCGATGTAAATATATGTTATGAATCTGTTATACAGATAAACGTAGATACATACCCGTATATATACAATATATGCCATTTATTTATCGCAAAGTATGTATACATGCAATAAAAGATCTGGTAAAAATATTCAACATCAATAATGGTCGCTGATAACAACCCTGCATCATATCCGTACCTACGTCTACTAGCTGTATACAAAATAAACTTTTATTTGTAATTCCCACGCAATCATTCTATATCCGCATGCAATGCGTATTTCTTTTGGTAACTTTACGCATAATTGGTCTAAATATTTCTTAAAAGATCTCATTACATACAGAAAATTTTATCCCAGAATTACCATTTTATCCAAAATTACCAACTATAAAAAAAAAACGCTCCTATCAAATATTATTGATTTTAACAGTCATCAGAGCCTGATACATCTATAATTTATAAAAAAAAAAGCTACAGTAAGACACTGATTATCCGTACAAGTTGGGGAATATCTGCTATTGATTACCCGCACAAAACTAAAAAGAAAAGAAAAGATGGAACAAAAAATATAAGTATAATAAAACAACATGCCATGAATATGAATTAAAAATTTTCCTTCATTTATGTTCAAATATCGAACATGAGAAGAAATTAATGTTCGGATAATCGGTGTCAATACAGTAGGTCTGTTTGAAACCAGGATTTAATCTGAAGAAGAGATTATTAATATTAACGATGAATGAGAAATAAATTTTTGCAAGTTTTATATATATTAACTATATGTATGACTAAGCTGTCAAACATTGCACTAATGAAGAAAATTTTAGCGAAAATATCTCAATATCTAAATCTACTTCAATCTCTCTGATCCCGGATTATTAAAGCCGGGGTCCCGCGGCGCGTAGAGGCTCGCCGAGTTACGGCGAGCCGAGTCAAATATGACAAACCACGCGCCGTGGGACCGGGGTGGTTCGCTATGGCTCGTAGCTCGCCTAGTAAGAAGCTCTGCTCGTGGCTCGCCTATGCTTGTCAAAAGTTCAGCTCGTGGCTCGCCTATGCTCGTTACAAGTTCGGCTCGTGCATTGTCAAACGAGCTTTAACAAGTCATATAGGCTCCAGCGCGTGGCTCGTCTTGGTCTCAGTTTTCAAAAATCTGTAGTTAGAAAAATGGAAGAAGCGGAAGTAATTGCATGTGCAGCAATGTATATTATTTTTTAAGTGGAGTCGTTTTAAGAGTCGTTAACTGCATTTCGATCTTTATGTGAAATATGTTTCGAATAATTCTTCTTTTTCATACAATTCTAAAAACTCAATAGTTTTCTCGTTTCCACCATTCCACAGTGCGCACTAAAGTATTAACAACTGCCTAGAAGTGGACAAGTTCAACGTGTGTGAAGTTAGCATATCATATTTTGACATCGCATGAAAAAACGATAGTTCTGCTCGCATACACTATAGTTCTACAGTTCTAGATAGTTTTTAACAATAGTTCTATCGAATTACGTAAAAAAACAAAAAAATAAAATTTCAAGAAATGAGATGCTAACTTCCCGTCTCACCTTCCAGCATCTTACCGGATTTCGAACGAATGAGCCATAAAGTACGAGTATTCAAAGAGTTCTACCGTTTCAACCCATATCAATAGTTCTGGTCATAAGAACAATAAAAAAAAATTCTAGTCATTATTAAAAGCATTTCACGCGCTGTACGAGCATAGAATCATAGTTCCCAGTCCCTAGTATCATTTACACATTACAGTTCTATTTAGAAACAATCATTTAACTATTTGTCTATAATTATTATGCCCGCTAAAAGTGCCTAAATATGATATGTTGGCGTCACTAGTCATAGTTCTGGGTTTGTACGAGCATAGAATCATAGTTCCCAGTCCCTAGTATCATTTACATTATTGCTAGTGACGCTAGCATATTACATTTCAGTGCGTGAAATGCTTTTAATAATGACTAGAATTTTTTTTTATTGTTCTTATGACCAGAACTATTGATATGATGAGTTGAAACGGTAGAACTCTTCGAATACTTGTACTTTATGGCTCATATGTTCGAAATCCGGTGAGATGCTGGAAGGTGAGACAGCTGGGAAGTTAGCATCTCATTTCTTGAAATTTTATTTTTTTGTTTTTTTACGTAATTCGATAGAACTATTGTTAAAAACTATCTAGAACTGTAGAACTATAGTGTATGCGAGCAGAACTGTTGTTTTTTCATGCAATGTCAAAATATGATATGCTAACTTCACACACGTACAAGTTCACGCGAATACTGACAAATAAATGGTACAACGACGCGGCTTGTTGACTCGTGACTCTGCAAGTCCTTTGACTCGCAATCAATTTACCGACAATCAACGGGAAGAACGAGCCGCGAGCCGCGAGCAATAGCGAGCAATAGCGAGCAATAGCGAGCAATAGCGAGCCCACCGCGGTCCCACGGCGCGTGGTTTGTCATATTTGGCTCGGCGAGCCTCTACGCGCCGTGGGACCCCGACTTAAGACTTAATTGTACCACTAATCAAATGAAAAAAAAAAAAGATGTACGCTTTGTTTCTCAATCTTGATGTCGTTTCTAGATATTAGCACGCCATATATTTTTCGTAGATTTAATCATTTCTTCGTAGCGTTTCTTCGTAGCGTTTCTTCGTAGCGTTTCTTCGTAGATATAAATTCCTCAGAGATATTTGTGCGGCGTGTATCTTGTTCCAAGATTGCATTCGACTAGCTAATCTGACTGTTGAGTTGTTGTAGTACAGATATTACTATTTCGCTTAGAGTCTGGAAAAATAATTATGATAATTTTGTCAATGTTTGTATATTCAGAATGTAATATATGCAGGATATACAAAAATTTTCGTTATTCACCTGAGGTTTACAATGCTCCTCCAACCAACTAAACACGCAAGCAGATAATTCTGCAAAATTAGCTACAGAAATATTATTAAATGTTTGAAAAAGGCGGTCCATTATTGCCTGAAACTGCAACACGATAATGATTAATTAGTGACTAATTAAGCTATTGATTGCTGCAATTAAAAAAAAAATATATTACCACTTGAAATTTCATCTCGTCCGAAATACGCATCTCCGCGTGTCCCGGTTGTGTCTGATGTGCTTTGACAATTTGCTCGTAATTAGCTTGCATAATGCGCAACGCGACAACTTCCTTCCTCAGCGCGTTACGTTCCTCCTCCTGTTTTTTCTTCTGTTGCAACAGAAACTGTATGTAATCGATGGATTTTTGAAGCACTGTAGCTTTGGAAATCTTATAGCCTGAGGAATCTGTATGTTGACATGTTGGGACCAAATCCTGGAGGGAGTCGTAACCCTTCTTGATAGCGTCCCGCCTCTTCTGCTCAGCTTGCGTGTGAGCCTCTCTCCTGCGCTCCTTATAGCTTATGGTGGAATTTTTGTTATCACTATCTTCATCCTCTGAACATCATATCATTTATCTTTATTTTTTGCCCTTTATTCTATTATCAAATAATTTTTACAAAAAAATATGCATTTATTTACCTGTATTGTGAGCGGATGAGGATGGTGTATTTACTGATCCTGTACTGCTACAACGGGAGAAAGTATACTTTTCTGTAGGACTAGACGGTTCCATCTTCATGTCACTGTCCGATCCTATGTTACCGCTGTTGGCACGTATGGGCAAACTAGCTGCTTTCAAAAAATAAATATACAATATATAGATGATTCAAATAGATGATTTAATAGATACATATTTTGATATAGTTTTAGTCGAATATATTTTATATTGTACAAACATTTTCGGTTTAAAAATGGAACACTGAGAAAATTATGAGAAGGTAAAGATGTTAGAAGCATTCTTAACACAACCATCACATCTCAAAATAAAAATAAATAGATCCACACAAATGGATTGACAAAATTAAATGAATGAGATATATTGGACTATATCTTAGGAACTAACATTTGCATATATATTGATGATATACGTTTCTTATATCTGTTGTACCTTTTTTATATTTTTTTTCTTTGTTTAGATATAAACAATTTCCACGATTTATTTAAATAGTTTTTATTTTAGAACTTTAATTAACTCGAATATTTTAGCAAAACAAATGCATGTAAAGTATAATTCATATTACTTCACTTGATAGATTCATTTGCCTAAGACTAAGACGATATCAGCAATGGTTTATCGTAGCGCCATTATCTACAGATAATGATGTCGCGGTCAACTCTAAACAATATACATCGTCAGAATTTAAGATTTCTTTTTTTGTGTTTTACATCTTCTTGGAATTTCTCTCCCATCTCTCTTTTTTCCAAATTCTTTATATTGCCATAGAAATTATGTTTATACGCTTCGTATTCTAACCTGCAGTATTTTTTTCTTAAATTATAAAAAGTTTGAGATTTTATGAGAAAATATTGTCAGATAAATGAACAGAATATTATTAAATACGTATTATTAGTAAATTCACGTTTGTTGAAAATTAATAAATTCTTTTACTGCATATGTAGTGGTGTATGCTTAATAAAAACATAGTCATGGAATGTAACATAATTTTTATGTATCATCGTGTACATACAAATATTTGTAATAATGAAAAATTTATGAGCTCCAACAAGTGTCTTGTATTGTGTATTGAGAATAGCTGCCAAATCAATCACATGATTGATCACATAGATTTTCAGAAGCGTAATGAAGAAGATCGATAAGGCATTTGCTTTCTGAGAATGTTCCAGGAAGAATGGCTACTTTCAAGGAAACATAGTAGTTGTGCAATTGTTGATTGATACTCAGTGCGTAGAAAGTGATTGACCACATTTTGCTCAGTAACGCTCATTCAACAGTTCTGTTTTCGAATACAGCTATTGCTTTTCAGTGTAGGAAGTACAGAATAGTGTAGCTAACAGGAATACAGAGATCTTTCGAAAATCTCACGATACAGCGACGATAAAAAAAAAAGATTTGTCACTCACGGGTTTCATATCCATCCTTATGCAACGAATCCGCCATGGTATTGATGGTCCAATTATTTTCCACTGAAAGAGGAGAGGATCAAAATGCGCACATGGAATGGTTATGATCAGAGAATGATTGTAGGTGAATTAGGTCAGAATTTTTGGATGTATTCATGTAGAAAGTAGGGAAAGAAACTTAGGAAGGTCAGAGAACATTGGACCGCGTCAGATTTTTCAGTCACACTCAATTACGACACTGCGAACAATTTCGATGTGTTTGTCTCGTAACAACACTTCTGCTTGGTCTCCACCATCTTTGACAAAGATGGAAACACTAGTGATTGATACTAGTTCTTTTCAGCTTTACCATATTATATTTTCTCAAGACGAAATAAGTATACAACTAGCATTATGGAGGGAAAAAAAAGAAAAAAAGGTCGGGTAATAAACAAAAAAAAGAATGCATGCTGATAAATCTGTTTAGTTACACTTTCTTCTCTACAGAATTTAAAGGTCCTATTCAATTCATACGAATTTATCTTATTTTAAAGATAAAAATATGTATGCTTTGATTATATATATATTGAATTTTTATTACCGCATTATAGTAAATTTTCTATATTTATTATTTTTTTAACATCTTTTCATTACATACATTACGTTTTCTTTTTTTTCTTCTTTATTATATTTGTATTAGTCTTACATTTAATAAATAAATATATAATGTAAATATAAACATAAACTACATATTTCAACAAGTTTACAAGCATAATATAGTTACTCGATCTATTACTTTGAATAATTTAATTAATTCATTTAATTATTTATCAAACTAGGTATTGATTATAGAGAAGACCCACACAACATGCATACCCGGGGGATGTTCAGAGGACAGAAGATATTGTATCTCTCAAAGATTATCTTCGAAATGTCTTCTGGACATCTTCTGAATAGGTGTGCTGTATGGGGAGATAAATAAAATGTAGGTAGGTAGGTAGTAATAATTTTGTCCACTGGTATGCGTGATAAATTGAATAGCAAGGACGTTATGTTAAATTATGTTTATTATAAGGTGTATCTAATATATATATTTACAATCGCTTTAATACACGTAAAACCATTTAAGATAATATATTCATATTCTTCGACGTTAACGGCGACATCCTTCGCCGTAACGCTGGCATATTGTGTTTTTCTATGTTTTTTTCGTTTCGTCTCCATAAAGTGTACACGATTCCAGTTTCATGGGTATTTGTCTATTGTGTACCTGAGGCAAGGACCGTTGCTTGCATTATACACTTGCAGATAGCAGGCTACGGGGGGTGGAACAGGTAATTCCGGGAGAGAATATGTCCTCCGTAGCTTTTTCCTTCCCCTCCCACTCTTACCTCCCGCGCGCACAGCACTCTACTCTCTAGGAAATTATTCTACTCCTAATCGCATATATCCATTGTTATACTCGATCGTACGTCTAACTTAGATCCATATATGCGTAGTACACAGTTCTACATTTGTATCGTTCGGGGACGGATTATGTCGGAAAGCCGAGAAGAGCGTAAACTATTTAAGACGACGTGCGGACGTCGTTGAAGGTGTCGACGCGTAGTGGGTCTATATACGTGAGGTATGCTTAGGCTGGATTGCATCAACAATTTTAATGGACTAACTCTGCTTATGGATATTCGTTTTCTTTCATGTTACCGTTTCTATTCATCGGCACAGATTGAGAGAAATATTGAAATTAAATAAAGTCAGCACTGAATAATATTGATGCCGCCTCTTCTCGATTTCATTTGCATCAGACAGTTTAATTATAGTTCAGTAACTTATTGTTTCTCTCCTTGCATTAGAATACTAGTTAGTAATACAAAGAAAATATCGATTTATCATTAACTGATTAATTGATTTCTGTTTGACATAAATTTGTATATGCTGGATTGCACCAACGGCATGAATTAATCCATAGTATTTTTTACATTCCAAAATTTCAATTAAGATATTGGAACATTTTGCATCATAGTTCTTCATGCCGTATATATATAAAAAGAACTATTTTGACGAATTACATCAAATGCGAGATGGATATTAATCAATCAGAGTTAGCACTGATGTTGATGCAACAAGCACTAGAGATGTTGATCCTAGATTTGTGTTCGTTTCCCAAATGGCGAAACAGAGTTTATGCGAATTTCGTTTCTCGAAGGTTTCATCGTCTGAATGTCCGAGAAATATACCGCCGCTATATATTGCGCGACATTTACAAGTGAACATACAGTACAAGCGTTTCGAAATTTCCGACACGTGCGATTTGGCTATGCCCGCCCCCGCAATGCGCTATTCAACATAACATTAAGTGAAGTTTACATGCTCGTTTGCAGCCAGAAACGCCCCACGTGTATTTTACTTCAGATAAAGGTCACTTTCCCGCGGTTTAATCGATAAAGCATCACATCGTAAATCCTTGTCGAGTTCGAATTTAGTATTATTTCATATATATCACACATTCACCTCACGCGTATGCGTTCTCCCACTATACTCACATTCTAAGTTATCTCTGTTTTCCTTTTTCTCTAATTTCTTTTTGACATCGATAAAAAATTATATATATATATAGATTTATATATATATATTTTTTATATATATTTCAATAATTACTTTATCATTAATTAATTATTCAATTAATTAATTGTTATATCTTATTGTTCCATTAAAATGTTAACTAAAATGTTCTGCATGGTATGCACATCTCTCTGGCAAGTACCACTCAAATATATATACATACATAAATATACATACATTTATACACACACATATATGTGTGTGTATATATATATATATATATTTATAATAAAGTATCATTCACTTATTTATCTGTATATTCCCATCTTTTATAAGTAGAATCATGAATAATTTGCAATGTCTAACTACGCTGCTTTGAGATTAATTGGATAAACGGTGCAAATAAGACATTAATCACTCTACTGTACCAATAATCATTCACCGCGCGAGGTAAACCGTCAGATTTTCGAAACCAATCGCAAATATTTTTATGTTATAATTTATGAACGTAAACGTTCATCATTTATTTCAATCGAAACATGTTTTCATAAATAGAAATTTTTGACAATTTTATTAATAACAAAAAGACTTAATTTTCGCACAATATATAAAAATGGCATGATATCCAATTCTTTTATCTAAATAGACTCATTTCTATAAATAATTATCTAGTTCGATTAATATTGCAATGTGTGCGCCATCTTGTTAATCTTTTACTAAGACAGCGCATTCATAAAAATAAACTAACACCTTTCCAGCTATTCATCAACATTTTGCTGTATGATCGCGTATGAACTCGTGTGAGATATTTTCTAATCATTTCGAGTCATAACTGGGATGAAACTTTTATCATACTTTTATCATAACTTTTTGATTTTTTAACTATATGAATTCAATCTAAGTGAACAATGAACACATGCAGTTGGATAATAACATATCTAATAGCATCTTGATAAACAATTGTAAATGATTGCAAATGAATCAATTTTCTTCAAATTGAGCACGTTGAGTTTAAAACTAATCAAAACAAATTGATATGGTTATTTATGCATTTGCAGTATCTGTGTGTAGATTAATTTATCAATTAATCTATCTTCTCAAGTTTTTAAACATTGTAAAATATAATTTGTTAAACAGAAAATTTGCTCAATTTCAACTTGGTACGCCAGTTACCACATATTATAACATTGAAAGTAATTAAAAAATTCTCTTTCGAGCGAAATTTACAATTTCCCAAAAATTATTTGGTTTGTTTTATATAATTTACACAGAAACCAGCTATGCGAAATTCTTTCTCTATTACCGTATTGTCCTATTCGATTAAAATGTTGAAGATAAGATATTTAAATTATATTCTAGTGATGTATCATTCTGAAAATAAAATGATAGATATTGCGCATTTTCAATCGAAGAGCAAGCGCTGTTAAATGTACGACAAAAACGAACGCGACTTTTAACTTTTTATTATTCCTCCGAGTGTATCGCAGTAATGACAATAATTGCAAATAATTCGAGAAAGTATAATTAAACGTTGCTTTACGAGCAAAGCGAATGATCGGCTAGGCTTCTTTAGAATATTCATCAATGCACGCCGTGTAACGGCATTAATAACTCCATCCGTGAGATAATCGATAAAAAGTCGACTGGCGATCTCTACAATCGCGGCAATTAATGCAGCTAGAATTTCCAAAACGAGGTTCGTTGCGCGAGATGCAGGACGTTCGGTGAGGAATTTTGTACTCTTCTATGATCATCGGCTTGCTGGCATAAAGAAACGCGCGTAAACCATCATAGAGAAAGTCCCCTATCTTCGGAAATTCATGAGAGATTGGTTGAACAGATATTTGTACCATAATCAGTGTTACCGATTTATATCTTTGAGCGCTTAGCCTGACGAGACTTGGCAGTACGACGTGATTTTTTCGCGGCATCATTCGACGTTTCCTCTGTTTCGACGGGAATTTTCCGTTTTATCGAAGGCACAGGAGCCTTTGGCGGTGCCATTTCCATTGTCGGCGTCGGCGGGGATTGTGTAATTATAAGTTGCGATGCCACCTCAGTGGGACTGTGAGCATCCGCGATGGGAATGAAATCGTGCCCTTCGCCGAAGGCTTCCGGCAGCACGCCTTGATTAGCTAAAGCTTGTAAATCTTCCGTAGGGACTGGCATTGATTGGCCACAACTTACGCACACTGGTATTGCTGGTGACTTGGATCGCCAATATTGTAGCTCGGTTTTGCACTTGTTTAGTTCCTGAAAAGGAAAAATTTATAAGATACGGCATACACATACGAATATTTTGAATAAAAATGGAGCAAGTCCATAATTTGTACGCTTTAAATAGGGATATAAAGCTGCAAAGTAAATTTTCATAAATTAATGGCTGAATCCATCTTTGCTTTAAACCCCCCCCCTCCCCCTTAACTGTGTAACCCCTGGGTAAATACCTGTAGGAGTGTGCTGAATTTCCGCGACGTTTCCTCATTCTTTTTGTCATTGTCGTCTAGTCGAGTAGCGTATTCCACAATCTGTTTCTGTTGTTCTGCAATTTTTGCCTTGCAACTCCTCAAATCCCTGCGCATCAGTGTCAACTGGCTGTTGTATCGTCTCATGCCCTGTTTGATCTTGCGGATCCGTTTCCGCAAAACCATGTTCGATTGCGGTGGCGACACATTAGATTCCAAGAGAGCAGGGTCATCCGAGCAATGTGACGGAGAACTCTCTTCTTCACCAGCACTGCTCGTTTTTTTGCTTCCGACAGTCAAAGGCGTGGAATCCAGGCACATAAATGGTTTACTCACACTACTAGAAGCTGTGACAACAATTGCCTTCAATACAGTTGCATTACAAAAGTATACACGATCTAAAGAAATCGATGAAATCGATTTCTTTAGATCGATCGATATCAATGATTTCACTCACAAGTGAACGTTCCTGCAAGATCCAGAAAGTCGGCACCGAAGTAAGGTATTTCCGGTAATGTCGGTTCAATGTGCTCCTTAAAATATTCCATGGCCATAGTGCTCAGATCGAATAATTCATCAGTAACTTTATAAGGTCTTTGCAATTTCGGAGTGACTTTTATGTGATGGAGAATGCGATACACTTCGTCCAGGATCTGCAAAATTATTCAGAAAAGTTTTATTTCCGCTTTTTACCTATTATTCGGTTAGGCAAATTGTTCTAGTGCTTTACACGATTTTCATTTTCCATGTATTTACCTCGCCAGGAAAGAAACAACAATGCTTTCGTTCAATATGCTTGCCGAAACTCATTTGCAGCAGAGTAAGCCGCATATGCAGAGTCTCTATAATGTCCGATTCGCATGCCAACGGATGATTCCGACGCGCGGATTCACGTCTGGGCATTTGTGCTTTAATAGCCTGAAAACGACTTAACATTTGAGCCTGCAGCTTTTGAAATGTGGAGTTCAGTATTGATCCGCAAACACGGTCCAGCTGGTGACAAACCTATGAACAGAAATATTGGTTGTAGTATTAGAAATTGAAGCAAATTGATGCTCATATATCTCATTCATTGAAATGTTATATTTACCAGACGCATATGAGCTACTGTATTAAATCCCAAGTAGCCAAAAATTTTCTCAAGGATTTCGACTGGTAAATCCAAGAGATTTAGACTGCGTGATTCGACAGTAGATCCTCCGTTAGATATACCAGATGTACTAACTGTTGTCACCGAATGTTGCTTTTTCAATGAATTTACATCTCCGGCCTCGCCACCCGGTCCACTGCCGTTGCTACTTCCCATGTTACTTGATTGACGAGTAGATACCATTTTCTTGCTTTTCAATGACCAACTTTATCCAAAATCTGTAGTAAAACGAACGATGTTTTCTCCACAATGCATAACAATAGTATAAATATATAAATAAATTAAATATGGGGATATACGTATGAATAAAACATATATGAAACAGCCTGATAGAATCAATTGAATAAGTATAGATAAGAATTTCAATTGCGCATAATTAATTCCACATTTCTTTTTATTATAAGATTGCCAGGATACAATACTTTATTATTATTCACATTACATGTACAATAAAACGTATATTTTTTTATGGATATTTCCTAATTTTCATAAAATTAGTACAGTGAATGAACATGAATTTAAATTGAATATTTTTGATTATTATTTAAATCTCTTCTATACACATATTTTCTTCACATCAAAACAAAATTTTCTTGCATTTTAAATGCAATATGGGAAAAATCTTACAAAAACATGTGATTTAAACTGACATTTCACTTAAGTAAAGAAAATGAACGTTTATACAAATCCTACACACATACCGCAATTTGCAAAAATGGAGTATGAATATATCGAAAGATCAATCACACATTTTAACAGTCTCAATATTTTATCAGTATCAGTAAATTGTTTTATTTTTCACAACAAAGAAAAAAGTTTCTGTGTACTGTTTTCTTTTTGTAGATCTTGTTCAAATAACAACCTAGTTGTGTAAGTTACTTGCTTTGACAAAATCTATCAAGAATCTGAGAATTGCTATACAGATGTGTTGTCTAAGCACTCCAAATAGGAGTAGGATATAATTGTCCATCGAGTAGACAAAGCCAGACAGATCGCACGGTGCACTGATACCCCCCCGAACTCGAGTAGTTGTTAGAACGATTAGATTCTTACGTGAGCGAGGCGATTGCGCTTTGTTACGAGATTTATTCCAATAAAGCGTCGCGACTGTTTCGCCTTCATCGCGAATTATTCATAACGACTGCGGGCAGGAATTATCGCGATATCTCGAGAAACGATCGCGCGTATCACCTGCTCGCCGTGAATATCCATTTATTTCGATCTAGTCCGAACCTTTCGGTCTTATTAGGTCATACATGTTGCAATCGAAAACGAGTTCGGAACATTAATTCTTTACATACGCAGAATTCCAGAACGTTTGCAACGGCAGCAAATTCGGAGAAAATTCGACAAAGAAAAACGACAAAACGACACTTTGCAAACCGACGCGTAATGAAAATGCTAAAATTGTCCGTTGATGTACACTGATACTGATTGTCGCGCACGAATCGACATTTCTCGAGTTTTGCGAGTGATACGTTGCTCCAGCCGTGGTCGATCAAGCTCTCTCATCTTCCGTCAATTTTTTGTGCAGCTACTTTAGCACAAGCAGGAACAAGCGATCGTCGACTAAAATTAGTTCACCGAAGGTGACAACGACTCCGATTATTTACAAATTTCATGGAGCTCGGCGTCGATAGGCATGGATAGAGCAATCTAACGAGAGCACGTCAAATATCGCTAAGTCGCGATTAATTATTAATCCAGATCTCTCGTATCGGTCATGAGACGGCATTAACGGTCGCGAGAAGAGGTTCACGCAGCGTCGCGAGGAATCGAGGGGGGTGTCGCATAAAGAAAGAGAGACAGACTGAATCGTGGCATGAACGACGACAAACAAAAGGTCGGGAACCGGGGACTCGGAGTCGATTTTACTGCGAGTGCGAAAGGAACTGCCGCGTGAAGTTGCGCGTGAAGGAGGCTGCCTTTTACCAGTACCTGAAGTATAATCGACGTCAGGAGAGCGATCTCGTTCGCCTTTCGGTATCCCCGGTATCGCTGTAGGGAACAACGGGGTTCGCGGGCACAAGCCGAACGAGGAAGCGGCGCTCTATCTTTGCTCCGCCACTGAATCGAAGACGAACAACAACGACGACGACGCGTAGAACGCGTAGGGAAACAAATGTGGGGAAACAAACCGGGTGACCGTGCGCGAGTAATCGATGCACCCGCGATCTTCTCTTTCTCCACTACAAGCCGTAGAGACTGGTCGTCGAGAGCGAGATCGGGATAGAGAGAGAAAGAGAGGAATGGGGGGGGAGGGGAGAGAGAAAGAGAGCGCGACTCGAGGGCTCGAAGGGAGACGATGTGCCCCGAGTTAGGCAAGCGGCAACGATCACTGTATCCGCGTTGGCGTTTTCAGCGACATTTTGACGGAGAGGCTTCCCCTCTCCTCCCCTTGCCCACCGCTCGCAACGCTACTCCCCGCTGCCGCGTTCGTTCTCGCTTCGTTTCACTGTTGAATCTCTCTCTCTCTCTCTCTCTCCCTCTGCCATGGCACTCACTATCGTTCCCTCCTTGTCGTTTTCCTTTTTTCCGTCCTCCTCATTCACCGCTCGTTCACTCCTTCTTTCTCACTCTCTCGCTCTCTCTCTCTTTTTCCCTCCTGTTAAACGCCCGTACAATTATGGCGCAGTCATACACATAATTGCAGAACCCGGAAAAAAGCCCGCGCGTTCAGCATTTTAGAATCTTTTCCTATCCTCTCACTCGCTCTCGCACCCTTTTACCTGCCTGTACTGGTTGTTCTTGTCGCACTCCTACGGGTACTCGCAATTCGCGCTGCAGCAGTTTCGGAACAGAGTTCTTTCTCACTCTCTCTCGCGTTTTCTCTTTCTGACTTTCACGTTTTATTTCTCTCCCTCTCTCTTTCTATCACTTCGTGATTGTATCGAAAATAAACGTTGTCACTGGCCGCGGCGAACTGCTGTGTTCTACTGGCTGTCTCCTTGCGCGTACGTGAATGTCTCAGAAACAGTGAGAAATACGCGATTCCGCGCACCGGAATCCGCGCGAGCGGCCGTTGCTACGCTCCGAAACGGCGTACACCGTCGACGCTGACGGCAACGAGGATGCGCGCATATGTATATCCACGGTGAGAATGCACTCGCGAGACACGCTCGCGTTGTTGCGTGCTGCGCCGCGTGCGAACGTGCCACACGACCGCACGCGTGCGCTTCTCGATTGGTTCACTGTGCTCACCGCCAATTTACAAGCCACTGGGTGCTCCGAAGTCGCTTCAATGTGTTGTGGCATAAGAATAATCTTACATAGGGATTTTTTATTCCCGAGGAGGTAGCCATGCCCGTCGTAATGTGTACGACATCTGAGGAAACCATTCAGAAACATTATTAAAAACAAAACAAATGACACAAAGAAGGCCTATTTCCGAATGCTCTAAATGTGCTTTTTTCGTTAAATTTATAATTTAAAACCTTAAGACAATCCCAAATATAAAATTAGATTATTAATACTGCTCTTAGTTCAAATAATTTTTAAAAATTATATAATAATTTGATAATTCCAATTATAAACAAACGCTGATAAATTTAAATAATTAAAATCAATCACTTTTTGATAGATAATTGAAATGTATAACTTGGTGAATTTCAATTGATTTTTTCATGTGGCTTGTTATCAAGTGATGGCTTATATATGAATAATGATCTTAATCAATCATTGAATGTGTAAATTAATTTAACAAAAATTACTCATCTAGACAGCATTTATTTATTCAGTAATCAATCTTGATCTATATTGTATATTATAATGAAAAATTATTTATTAGTAAAAATCGTATCTGTTCCATGAACACAACGCGATTGCATCGCGATATTACATCGCGATAAACTCTGTATAAGATACTTTAATACAAAATTATTGTAATTAATGTTGTAATTGCTGCCTTCGTCGCCTCCCCGTTTATGTCACTAATTATTGGTTACGTTGTATATAAATGTACCATAGTTGGATGATACGTCCGTCGACAATCGGACGACCGCAAATTGCAAGCTAATATCACACACACATTAGCTACCCGATTGCTATCTCAATTTCTGCTGTTGTGCAATCGACAAACAATAGTCGAGTAGTAACATTACGCCTTCGTCGTTCACCAACGTATCGTATTGTTAAGCGTGACCAATTGCGCTAATTTTCCAGAATCTGTGACTATAACGATATTTCATTCCGACATTAACGCTCGCAGTTTCCTAACAAGCATGATACTTTGTGCTGCACGCGCACCGCTTCATTTTTTTATCAGCCATAAAACATTAACTTTTTAGCTTTGGAATTACATTGTTTAAAATAATGCATGTACTAAGCTAATTGAAGGGAAATATTCAGGTTGGTTTTCGATATAACTATTAATCGTTTTCACACAATGTACTGTGTATGTGTGTGTGTGTGTGTGCGTTTACTATATGTATATTCTTTCTGATATAAATATTCTGATATAGTAGGATAATTTGCAAAAATTCCGCCTTTGATCCTATTTAGTCATAAAAGCGTTGATCTCACCGATCAATAATCCGTCCTTGCTTCTGTTTTTCATGTATTACCTCGTTATGATATAGGTAGATTTCTACTTATTACAACGTTTATTGCGAGACACTTACGAAATTAAACGCGCTATTTGTTAGCTTCGATGGAATTCTTGTCTTTAACGACCTTCGTGTAATATATATATTGATCTTGACTAGAAAAAAAGTAGTTTGATTACAAAAGCGGTTAGAAGCTCATTCAAATAATTTTTGAAAAATTTGTGTAAAGTGTAACGATTTGCACATAATATTAAAAGTTAAAAGTTAATATTTTGCATTTAACAATTATTTCACACATAGTTATTGCATTATTTAAATATGTATTGTGCGAGCTGTAGTTGATCTAATAATCAATTTATTGTTAATAGAATTTGATGACATAAATGTCGTTATGTTTCATATTGATGATAAAAACAGGATGTTATTAATTTCTCAATAGCCAATTTAGAAAATGAGATCAAGAATTGTGCAACAAATCTGCCGGGGATTACAGTTGTTGAAAAAAACCACAGACAGAAAAAATCACTGAAACAGAAGTTGGGAATACCAATAAGTGGCGTTAGGAAGCTAGGTAGTATCATAAGTTATTCACAAATCGCCGGATATGTTTAGGAAAAACTTCCTCGTATTAATCATGCATACTATTAGCTATAAAATGACGTTATGAAGATGAAAAAATACATATGTACACAATCAAGTTGTACATTGTAAAATAGACGTAGAAATTCGTATGGCTTCTATCGCCAAATTACAAATCTTGAATTCAGGATTTGCCAGTTTTATTTATTTTTTTGTTCTGTGCGAAGGGAAAAGATATATTTTAGCATGAGATAGATTAACATTTGAATGAAAATTTCCGAGAATTAAAAATTTTTGAAAACTTAAATAATTATTTCAATCGTGAAATGTATTCCATGAAAGAGAATTGAAAGCATTACTCTTCATTTGGAAATACATAGGGAGCACAAAGGATTCGAAAAAGATTCAGACATTCTACGAACGGCTCTTGATTTACGAATTCAGTGGACAAGATATTTGGTGATTTCTATCAGATATTTTTTTATTTACTTTTTTTGCCAATTCTCGAAATCCCGAAATCATTAGTATTCCATACGTCGTCGCGAAACATATTGTTCTTCCCTCCATAATGTCGAGGCGGCCCCGTGCGGATTCAATCGTACGTCGCAAAATAGAAGCGGCGGACTCTTATTTAACATGGTCGACCGAGCTGGCAGTATTCAGTCTACCACCGACCGTAACAGAGCACTCACATTTCTTTCTTCGCTGATTCGTCGACAAGAATCGGCAAGCCACCGTCAGTGCTGCAAGATTCCATGGTGTACCCCGACGGGGTGAACGATCATGATGTTCTCGATCGCTCCTCTTGGCTTTCTTTTCCTCTCAGGTGAGTCTTCGCTTGAATACTTAGCAATCATCTTAGAATATTTTTTTCTGCATAGATCTTCCAAAATTGCTTCTTCAAATTACCATCTTCAATTATATCAAATATTTTTTATAAATTGTATTGTAGAAAAATTGCTTCTAAATTATATCAAATAGTTTTTTAAATATTACAAAATATCGAGTCTGATTGGGCTGGGACGATAGTCGTCAGTTTGCGTGCAGTTGCAACAAAGAAAATGTTGGAACATCCGTGCATGTATTTTAACTGTAGATTATGAAAGAGAAATAATGAAATTATATTTGAAAATATATATTGACAGAAGAAGTAAGTTTTTATATTGAAATATTTGTTATTGAAATGGGAAGTTCGTAAAGTAAATTTTATGGGTAAATATATGTCCTGACTTGATGACAACTAGAGATATCGTAATGTAATCAGCGCTACATTAATCATCATGCTATGGATGTATTGTTGAGTAACAAGTGATAAAAAGATTTTTATTTTCAAACATTAAATATGATCAATTTATACGAAATAAAATGAAACAATTATCTTCTATATACGCTTTATCGACGTGACTGACAGCTGAATCAAAATGTAGTTATAATATTCGTTGAAGCTGAATTGTAGTTATAATATTCGTGTTCTGTGGAAAATATGTTAAAATTGTCATCATTCATTGTAATGCATTCAACTGCATTGATATGCATTGAAATCATCACTTCGGATGACTATAGAACAGCTTACGAAGAATACGAAAATTATAATTAAAATTCTGATCGGCGATGTAGACTTCGTTAAATTCAACACTCAGTAACAAAGTATGCATTATAATATTGTTCATTAATGTATTATATAGTCAAAAACGTGTCTGACTAAAGAATCTTACCACATCTAACGCGTGTCTAATCATATCTTACCATATCTAAAACGTGTCTGAGTAAAGAATATTACTATATCTTTTTCCACTTCAACGTAAAACATGGAAGATCTAGTAAAAATCGAAGAAACTTTTAAGAAAACATTATTGCGGCTATTTGAAGCAAAAAGATTCGATTTAAAGCGGCAAATTTTTTATTCGTTGCATACGCGATGTAGGATGTTGGTTAATCAGTTTTAGCTAAATTGATGTGCCATATTTTCTTAATGAATTGACTGATAAAAAGCGCTATATAAGTATTCGAATATTTGAAAGTGTTATCATTTTATATCGCATCGGCTTGATGTGCTGTTTTTATCATTAAAAAGCTCGTCGTCTTTAAAGGTAATCATACGTTATATAGATAGGACCTAGCACTTCAAAGTCGCATGATTCTTGGTGATTATCGGCTTACGTCGCTAAAGCGAGCACGAATTTTTGAACCATACTGTGACCATCGTTGAAACCTATTTGCACTGTAAAAAATGTAAATTCGTAGCGATATGTCTTCTTAAGAGATAACATTTGATGGATTAGAAGGTAGAACGCGAAGGCAAAATTGATGAAAGAATGTGTTTTATCAATTATACAGAACTTTTCGCATGTTACAAAAATTTGATTAAATTATAGTTAAATGATGAATAGTTTTATGTACAATGTGAAAGGTCGTGCTTCTTTAATATTAAAGGAAGATTGTATTGATAAATAAATAATGGGCAGCTCGCGTAGCTCCGTCAAATATAATGTCACACAAATAGTCGACAATTTTGCATGTGACCATCGCGATATCGATCACATAATTTTATCATACAAGAGTGATGATTAGTAAGGTGTCTCCATAAACATTCATTTTCTTCTAACAATAAGTCAAATATATTTCTCGATCTGTTGTTATAGAATGATTAATAGTCTTTTTAGAAGGATGCGTTGACATTTAAACAAATGTATTAATTGCTTTTGTATTAAGTCTTTTAGCCCGCGTGTACATTTTAGAACACGCAGATGATTTGTAAAAGAGGGACTTTCTAACGGACTCTCTGATCTATTTACAGCGGTTGTTGATTCGATATTTATCCAAAACATAACAATTTGTTCGAAATTTTGCTCGATTGCTCAGATATCTCCAATATTCCCTGCACGCATCTCACGTAACTATGTAACAATAAAAATTTTGCATAATGGAAGGACAACGAGGATTCTCGTCATGCTCAAGATAATCGCTTTAAAATCAGCCAAGGATTTCCAGACAGTGTCACGTTGGAAGCCCTTGCGTGACCGTTTGGGTTAAAACGAAAGTCATACTCTCGAGTAAATCATCACTTGCTGCATGTGTCGAGCAGATGCAGAGAGTCTTAAACTGAGAGACAACAATTTGCTCACCGGATAGGTAACGACAGGAAAGAATCGCGCGCGTACACTCGTTAGCAGATAATCTAGAAGCGTTCTAGGCACATAATAAGCGCGCGGAAACGACCGATTGTCTTTCAAGACAGAGAACTCGAAATGCACTTTCAACTTCCGCAAAGATCTTCCGGCGCATTTGATGGCTGACCCGTTAGAAAGCGCATTAGCTTCATTCATGAGCAAAAGATCGATGTGTTGCTTAAACTCGTTATAAATATTAAATTCTCTGCGTTTCAATAGAAATTAAAATTTCAATATTTTTCTTTCACTAAAATTAATTATAATTATAGAACTACTGAGAATCTATTTGTACAAAAATGAAAAGCAATTTCAGAACATAAACTCGTACTTTTTATTAACATATAAATGAATTTAAATTTGTAATCTTGTACATACATACACAGAAAAAAAGAATTGGCATAGTAAATTTTACGCTGTTATAGCTAAACGTATGTTAATTATTATATGTATAGTAAAAAGATTTGTTACAAATACTAATTTTATTTGCTGCAAATCATTTTGCTAAATCTGCAAATTATATCGCTATTATAACAAATTGATTTTTACTTTGCCATCAAAATTTGCATTGGCAGCGACAATTTTGCTGCATTAGCAAAATACATTTAGAAATAATCTATTTTTTTTATATCAGCAAATTCATGTATCTTTACGCACAAATGCATTCAGCAAAATTCATCTATTCTACCAGCAAAATAGATTTTGCTGATATACTGAATAATTTGAAAAATTAGTTATAGTAGCAAAGTTTTGTCGCTATCACATTTAATATGCACTAACTACGATTTCACTGCGATAGCAAAATTCTTTTTTTCCATGTACTCGTCTTTATTCGTATCATCCAGTAATTCGAAACTCCATTTTTTAATCTCTCCACTTTTAATATCGTTCATCATTATTCGTTATCATTCCTATCTATTGTGCATTGTATGCTAGTCAACGTTTTGTTTTAGGATTCTGTTTCGGTCAAGAGTTCGGTTATGAAGGAAGGAACGGTAAGTTTATTATTTAAATGAGCTACGCCTAGTGTGATAAGTCCACTATTCGTAATTCAATAACGCATTCCAAAACAAGATGAATCTTACTCTCGTCTTGCTCTCTGCGGGTCCGTCGAATTGGGGCGAGGATTTTCACGCGTGCATTGGAAAGCACCAGTCGCCGATTAATATAGAAGAGCACAATGTCAAGAACGTCAGTCTACCGCCATTGAAATTGAACGGCATCGACAATCTGTACCTGTTCATGACGAACAATGGTCACACGGGTGAGGGATTTCACGGTTCGAGATTAGCATTCGGCACGCTGGGAAACATTAGATTCGCTGTTTGTTTAGCCCATAGCCTCGCGATGTAGCTCATTGATTTTTCTTGCGGTATTTTAGACACTTCGCGAGCGCTGGGAAATTTGCCGCGATCGCGCTCACGAGAATTAGAAATCATGAAAAATCTGTCCTCGCGGTATAATCCGGACGATACAAGGAAAGAAACTTTGTTTCGCAATTATAATTATTATCTACGACTAGTAAATCCCGTGAATGTTGAATAGAGGAGACTCGAGTAGCGGCACAAAAAAAAGTTTATGAGCGATATCTATTATTCTTCTCGGGGCATTAAAAACGCCGTGAAGAGCTTCATCAAGTTGTTAATATATAATGGGTTTTTAGATTATATAGATACATTTAGAGTTAGATTAGAGAATAAGATATTTTACTTTAATGACGCAGTGTCTGCATTATGTAAAACAAGATACAATGCAGAAGCTGGCACTTCGGTAATTGTTGTTTTGTGTTACAACTGCTCTTCCTCTTCCGTCCAGTTATGTTGAAAACCAATGACTCCAGAGCGGCTATACTGTCCGGAGGACCTTTGGGGGATAATATTTACGTGTTTGAGCAATTGCATTTTCATTGGGGCGAGAATGATCACGAGGGATCCGAAGATTTAATTAACAATCACTCGTTCTCGATGGAAATGCACGCTGTATTTTACAAAGAAGATTACAAGTCGATGGAGGAAGCTCTTAATCACGATGACGGATTGACTGTTTTAGCATATTTTTACGAAGTAAGAGATTGGTGATTTTACCATATCGTTTTATTTCATCTTTTTTTACATAATTAGTATTTTACGATTAATTAACCTCTTTTTATATTTTACGCATTCCAACTTTCTTTTTTTTCTGTGAAAGTTTTATTTTTAATAAAATTACGTATACAGGTAGGTTCTCAACAAAATGTAGCATACGAGCCCATCGTAGCAGCATTACCTGACGTAGTGGCAGTGGGTAGTAAGGAAAAAATATTGCAACAGCCCTTATTGTTAGGGAAATTGCTTATACCAAACATCGCGACCATGCAGGATTATTTCACGTACAACGGCTCGTTAACCACTCCACCTTGTCTCGAGATTGTTACGTGGATTGACTTCAAGGATCATCAACGCTTGTCGCACGATCAGGTGTCTTTAATATATTTTGGATATTATGGCATAATTTCGAATCTATTCTTAAAAAAGACTAATAACGTAAAAATTTTCAAATTTATTCAGACATATACAAATATTCTCAAGAGTAAATAGCGTATATAAAGCGCGCGCTTTGTACTCTGATATTACAAATTGATAATTAGCGAAGGATCTTTTTATGTGATACATATTTAAGTTATGTAGACAAATGTGCCATTCGATAAAGCTTCTTGCCTAATTTTAGTTGGCTGCTTTTCGCGATGTACAAAATCCGGAGGGCAACAAATTGACCCACAACTTTCGACCAGTACAGCCATTAGAGGATCGAGTAGTTTTTCAAAATATTCCAAAAGAGCAAAGCATACCAAAGACTCCTGACTACCATCGTTTTGATGGGAGTTCTGGACAGCACAATCTCAAGGTGCCGTTTACAATCGTCGCATTAGGAATTTTATTTGCAGTCTTTTTGCTTGCCATATAAGCACGCTGAACATAATATATTCTAGTCAATGACATTTCTCAATTGCTATGTTAACTTTTAAACAGAGAATAACAGAGATTAATAAATACGATTAAATTAAAAAAATCAATTTTATTTTACGATTTTATTTTACAATTTTATTGCTTGAAAGTTAAAATTTAATTAACTGAATGTTCTGAAATAAATTCTGTGAGAATCACAATTATTTATTTTATATTTATAATCAATCAGGATGGTTGCTACACAGTAATTTAAAAACTTTCAGTGATAATTTATTCTTGAACATTAACATTATAAATATTTTAGAATATCGCTATAAAAGTGCAATGCACTAATATATTTCATGTGCACAATGAAATAATTAACTGATAACAATACAGTAATATTTAAAGTAAAATGTTTGCGTGTGACAAAATTGAATTTGCATAATTTCCTACACAAGTTCAAGTGAGCAAATATTTAATTCATAAAGAACCATTTAACTTATTGTATTCCCAAAGTTATATATAAGAAACACCAGAGTTACAAGTGAATAATGTTAATTATTGTTGTAGATATGTATTCCATACAAAAATTAGAGTATATAAATTAATACAAAATATATGTTATTGTGGTAATACTTTTATACTTTGCCAGGTTCATTGACATAAGCTGCTAGCTCTTGTTGGCCTTGTTTGAGACGTGCCCTCACTTCTTCCGCTATTGCCTTCTGTGTTCTCCTTTCTAATATTTCTAATTTTTTGGCTATATCTCGTTTTAAATCCCAATCAGGTTTCCTAGGTGCTAGATTACTGATGTCCTATGCAAATAAGAAAAATCATTTTAATGTACAAAAAAATGATGGAAAAAAATACAATACATGGTATAATTGTTAAAGAAAAATATATGCATAGAAATAGACATGTCAGCAAATTATCTTTCAGCTAGGGTTTTTTTAAATAATTTGAATAAAATTAATTGTTACTTAAAGGAACATTGAATATCTACGTTCTGTTATCTTTAGGCAAGAATATAACGTTATAGATACGAGAATGTAACTTACTAATTCCTCAATAACCACTTTGCTACTGGCTGCGTCCAATTGTTCTTGAACTATGGTTTCTACATCTCCGGGTTTTGCATCTTCTATCACATTATTTTTCAAACTTTCGTCCTGGGGCTTATAACTTCGAAATTTTGGTCTGAAAATAAGATTTTAAGTAAATTTACTTGAGACTAGCAATTAGATTGAGGTTAATTCGAAAGTGATGAAAACTGTCATAAAAATAAGATACTTACTTTGGTAAATTTTCGCCTGTGTTGTTCTCGGTTTCCTTGCCTTCTTCATTTTTCCTCTTAAGCGCTTGAAGCCGTGCTTTTCTCTTTAGAGCTTCTTCTTCCAACGAACCTATTTTTTCATCTATCATTTTTAAAACATCTCTTGAGGTTAGGTACACATTTACATTTTAGGTAACCAGAAGTAACTAGAAGTAATCACGTGACCACGTGTAAAAGAGTGCTACCAACTTGATGGATACAAATTTGTAAAATGTGCAGATCTGTTTATTTCTTGATAAGATATTGAAAATATGATTCTTATATCAATTGCAACTCTATAAAAAAGATAAAAAAATCATCACTCTTTTATTATTAATGCTTTAAATACCGTTCTGTTCTTCCGGAAGTGTTTATAGTTTGTAGTGTTTATAATTTGTGAGCAATATATATAATTTCATTAAAAAGTATCATATTTACATCTTAGTAAGCTTCTCTTTTTACATTTTTAGTCTGCAATATATTTGGAATAATGTGCAAGTATTTTTTGTAAACAAATTAGTTTATTAACATTTATACAAGGGTTTATATAATCCAGCGTCTGATAAATTATAAGCGAATTACATTGATTATTATCATACATCTAACATTATCTATATTTAATTTTAATGTTATTTTATTTTAATGTTACGTTCAGTCGCGCAAGCATCTCGGCTAGCGCTCGTAAAGGATTCGCATTTGTGAACGAATCGCCGTCAACTTTCGCTCACGCAGTCGCTCTCGCCGAGAGTGCATCGCACCCACATCGATTTTAGTTTCGAGACAAAGCTTGATAAGAATAGAGGAGAATCCAAGTCCGCGGAATTTATCATTATTCATAAAAGCTCATTGGAAATTCGTCTAGCGTTTTCACACATAAATAGTTGCGGAAATTTTTCACGACATTCTCAGATATTACAGATCGTAAACAGAACGTATGAGAAAGAGAGTGGCAAAATGCATAATTGCCAGCACGGAAAAACATAATTGGTGCAAATATAATACACACGCGTGGGATGCGGGCAAGTAATTAATTATAATAGCATTGTCATCTGTCGCATCCCTAAGAAATGATAACCACCTGATGGTCCCTAATGAACGATAATTCGATAATCATCTGAATTTAACTAAATTTTTAGCGAAACAAGAGAGTTGCCGATGTCCCACGAGATTCGTCGATTCGTCCGTTGGGTGAAATCACGAATCTGTGCCAAACGTTTGTGAAATTGAGGACATACGCGTATATACACGCGAGATGTGTCTCTCGCGTCGGTGGCTTCCTCTCCGGCATTGTGTAGTGGTATCGTCGGGGAAAGTTTATTTACAGTCGAAGAAGCATTTTCAATCCCGATGCGCGGCTCGATGCACGACTTCTGCGAGACCTCTGATCCCGAGCGAGCTCTCCGTGTGTTAAGACTAACAATAATACACACAAGCAATATCGTAAAGCGTGCTAATCAGCAATAAAGTTTTGGTCTTTCAGTGAAGTCTTGGATGTTTTCTAACTGGAAATCTAACTGGAAAATGATTAGATAAATAGATAGATAAATTTATTTTATCTTGGAATATAAATAATGCTTTTAGGCGTACAACTATTATAAATTTGGCATACAAAATACACGGAATTCTTTAGGGATAAAATTTCAAAGGTTTTTGCGAACCACGCTTTTCACAAGAGTCAATCTTATGCGAAATATTTTCTTTTCAAACACTATTATAGTCAAACTCAAATAGAACGTAATAACATAATTAATGCGAATCAGGTGAGATTTTCGCTTTCTTTTTTTTTCATGCTGAACACACGAAATAATTTTCCCTGTTAATACAAACTTATCGCTAAACAGTTATCAAAATTTATGTTTTACGATTACGTGCTTCTTTGCCATTGAGCATATTCGTACGATTACGGGCGAAGCTGGCAATGCCCATTGTGAATGTCGTATCTAAGAATAGGAAGAGGAAAGTGCGGTCAAAAGAGACAAGGAAGTGTGGAGCTGGAGTCACACGATTTATATACAATGTCTGTGTCGCAACTAAATACGAACTTGCGTAACCGAGCACGGGAAGGCCGCTACTACCGACGAGTCCTTGTTTAAAGTACATACAATCGTAATTAATACCATTATACTCGTTAAGGAACGGCTTCCTTGTTATGTCGATTCGCTATTGAAGACGTTGCCCCACGATATTGTCTCACGCTTGTCGTCGAGAGATGACGAGGGATAGTAAAATTTTGTGCACGTAACTCACATCGATGACAATCGCGACAATTCGATTTCACTCGGATTCAAGGTTACTATCATTAGACTCGCATGCTATTGAACTTACCCAGTCATCGCGCGTCCTTTCGCAAGTCATGAATAAACCGTTCCTTGTTGTCGCTGTTGCATGTATAGATGTTAAAAAGAAAGAGTAAAAATATTTAATCAACATAAAAGAAACTTTCTTCAAAATACAAGTAACTTTTAATTTTTTAATACAAGCAATATGCTTGTATTTTTGCATAAAAACATGTTTAGGTAAATTGATCGTCCTCCATTCTACGTATAAAAATGTTAAGATCATCGAAAAATGAATATTTTGCGAAATCTTTCATATCTTGAATCGAAATAAAAGTCGGAATAAAATATCTCATAAAATATTCACTTTTCCATTATTTTGCCTTAATATTTTTATATACAAAATAAAAATTTTATGTAAAAAAAGAAACGTACGTATCCATGCAAAAATGCAAGCAAAATAATAAATTAAAAATCAAAAATTGCTTCTCTTTCTAAAAAAGTTCATCTTTCAATCTACGTTGGTTAAGCATTTTGTATTCATTGTCATTATCTATTCTTTTGAATCTTTTTGCAATACTTTATATATCGCCGCGACCCTGTCATCGTGTACGTGTGTGTGTCGCGGATTCAAAGTTTCGAGAAATTAAATTCTACGTAGATAATAAAAGACAGATCGAGACGACGAGGTAAAAGAAGATAGGTAAGGGAGAGTAAAGAGAAACAAGAGAAAGGAAAGACAGAGAGCTCGATTTCACCTCGCTAATATCGTCCTGTAGTAATTTACACGACTCGTCGAAATTTTATATCGGTATACTCGTCTGGCTACTCACGCGTTCAGCTTGCCGCGATTACTCGTGCTGAACTGATAGTTCTTGTTAGGCAACGCTCCGACGTGAAGTGCCAATACCTTGGACACGATGTTGAGATCTTCGGCACCCGGACCCTGCACGTTGCCCAACTCACCGGCGACGCCCGATTGATATAGCAAGCGTTGGATCTGCTTGGCGGGCGTCTGCGCTCTCACCGGTACTTGTCTGTATTGCACGTAGGGATTGTAAACGAATGTACTCGGATTTCTCGCTGGCACGTTGAAATTGAAGGTATTCTTGGACGGAGGCGACTGCTTGTTGTCTAGATTGAAACCGAAATTACCGACCGCATTGAAGGCCTCTTGTCTGTTGAATCTCGTGGCCGGAACCACAGGCGGCTGGAAATCGGTGGGAAACGAAACGAAATTTTGCAGTCGCTGTTGATGTGGTTGCTGGAGCTGCTGGTGCGGTTGCTGGAGCTGCTGGTGCGATTGCTGGAGCTGCTGGTGCGATTGCTGGAGCTGCTGATGCGATTGCTGGAGCTGCTGGTGCGATTGCTGGAGTTGCTGATGCGGTTGCTGAGGCTGCTGAAGCGGTTGAGGAGGTTGCTGGTGCAACTGCTGCGGTTGTTGGTGCAGCTGTTGGGGTTGTTGACGAAGCTGTTGGAAATGCAGCTGTTGTTCCTGGTAATTTGTGCGGAACAACGGCGGCGAAGCAGCGGTGGGAAGCTCCAAGGACACGCTCGGTTGGAGATGAACGGCGGACTCCAAAGACGGTTGGAGCGGCAATATGAAATTTGCCTGCTCGAAGATCTGCTGCTTCTGCAACGGGAAGTGATTCTGTTGCTGCAAATGATAGATTCTCTGCTGCTCCAGCTGCTTGAAACGTTGCTCCTCCAATTGTTTGATTTTAGCCTGCTCCTCAAATTGCTTGATCCTGGCCTGTTCTTGGAGATACAGCTGCTGCTGCTGCTGCTTTTGTCTCAGCTGCTGCTCGTAGAGCTGGCGTTGCCTGATGAGAAATTGAGTCTGATGGATCTGCTGCTGCTGCAGCTCCGCCAGTTGCTGCTCCAGTAACTTCTGCTTGAACTCCAACTGCTCTTGCAAAGTCAGAGCCTGTCCGTCGCCGGTCTGCCTGTAAATCGGCACCACGCTCTTCGGCACGCCCAGCTCGTCCTGCTGCACCGTGAAAGCCGCCACCAGAGGAGCTTGGAAAATCTTCACCTCCTCCGCTTGAACTTTTTCCTTCTTGCCAAACTCCAAGGTGACGTTGCTCTTCGGCGAAACTGTCGGACTAGACGCGGTCGGTTTCGGCGCGATCAGCGTGTTCGCGCTCGAGATCCTGCTACTCGCGCTTTGCGTCAAGCTCTCCGATATTTGCGTGATCGGCTTCAGCGTGATGCTGTCGATTTTGCTGACCGAGGACGAGCTCGCGGAAGTTTTCCTCAACTCCAGCGAATCTACCTTGGACTCGGTTCGCGGCGAGTGAGTTGTCGAAGTTTTGTCCGGCACAATTATATTGTGCACGTGAAAACTTCCGGCGTCGTCGCGACTCGCTTTTTCTATGGTCGTCGCCGACGAGGAAGCGTACTTTTTCGACTCGATAAAGCTAGAGTTCTGCAGCTTCTCCTCATTGGGAATTTCTTCATCTCCCGGGAAACCGTTGAACGAGAAGGATGCCTTTGATATCACGCCGAGGTTTTTATTCAGATTTCTCTTGACGACCTCGTCGTAGCTCTTCTCGGCAGTCATGATAAGCGATTTCTCATCCTCATCCTTCCGCTGCTCCGCCGACTCAGCCTCCAGGTCTGTCAGCGTCTTCAACAACACCTGTCGCAGGTTTTTGTCGAGCTTTGCCAGGGCTGGCGCGATATCGATCTCCTTAGCTGAGATCTCAGTTTTCTGAGATCTGCCCGGGCTGAAGCAGGCTACTGCTAATAAAATTGTTATGGCTACCTGCAATGTATACAATGATGCATTGAGAGACGCTATCGCACAGGTTAAATTGTAATCTTTATTAATATTATAAAAAGTAAAAGTTTCATGTTGCGAGACGAAACGACATCGTTTAGCCTAAGTTAATTTATATCGCCGAAAGTTCGATCTTCTCACTATTGACAGGTTTAGCAAAATAAAATTATCTGGGAAAAGATAAACTACTGATTGAATTAATCTATAAATATTGACGATTGATGACACGAGATCTTTTAAATAGACATTTATGACCGGTTTCACCGTATTGATTCGAGAGAGATTGAAAGCTAAAGTTTGCCCGTTGAAGTTTATCCTCGCGAGTACCGTTACGCGTGGAAGATTCACAGCAGCCCGTAGGCGATTTTCTCCTCCTAAAAACATAGTAAACACGTACCTGCGGCTTTCGAGTCGTACGAGCGGGACCGATGGTTTGCATATTTTACGTAATTATGCGAAAACGCTCGTCGGACACGCCGCCGAGGAGATACGCGTGTGCATAATTAAATGTATACGCGAACACATCCCCAGAAAGTCGAAACTGCATAGCGAGTATAATGAACTCTTAATGGGCTTTAAACTATTGACTACCTCGTAAATTAATTTTATATTATTACTAATTATATATATTTTTTTTTCCCAGAATTTCGCCGATGTGTCGATTTCATTCCGATTTGCATCTCGCTGGAATGATTGAGGACAATGATTCGATGAGCTATAAGGCGACGGAAGTGAGTACCGATCAAGAAAAGGAAAGATATATGCGAGAACTCGGCGGGGATTCTATTATATTCTACTTGAACTCGAACACAATTAGAAGCCGGTATCTTTAATTACACACGTTGGATGGAGCGCTATATACGCGCTGTTCTTGGGAATAAACTTTGGTATTTAAGTGGAGAGAAACTCGGTGTGTGTATATCACAGAGCTTTGTTACGTCGCGGCGAATAATCGAAATCGAACGCAACGAGGACTTTCATAGATGCTTAACCCCCTTTGCGATCCGCGCGTTATGTGTTTTATCCCGGCTCTCATCGAATTTTTAAGATACTGTCAGTTTCACTGCATTTTCAACGTTGGCGTGTACCATTCAATAGAAATGCTTCTCGCCGCATTCCACGCGTTTTCACGATATTTAATTATGAAACTAGAAACTAAAATGTTGAAAGTGGTCGACAAATTCGCGCTTCTTTTAAGGCGATGGAAATTAAAATTAATGAGTACTACATTATGCTCACGCGATATCGTTTTTTAATCCACGCTGAATTTCTTTTCACCGTCGATGTTTCATTAACAAGAATCACGCTTTAACGCCACACCTATAATTATTTATCCTCGTGTCTTCATGGGTAATCATAAGCAGGCAATTTGAAGAATTGCCGTCTTTGATTGCGCTTTTATGTTTAATAGCGTTCCCTCCTTTTCAAAATGACGATACGTGACAAGTAATGTGAAAGAGGTTCTGACAGGATATTGACGGTATTGTCGATAGTTGATTATCGAAGCAGATGCTATCTTAGGCTTAGAGCACGATCCGCCAATTTCTCGTCCAGAAATTATTCAAACTCACCGGGAACATAATCCATCCGTCCACACACGACTACGCCCCGGAAAGGTTACGGATTATCCAGCAGAAGCGATTGCGGATTTGAACTTTCACCCCGATTGCGGTTTGTCAAATTGCCGCGGTGAGAATTTCGCGTATGATACATTCGCATAGTACGCATTGAGAAAATTTCATTTTTGCCTTGCCGTAAAGCGAGAGAGGAGAGTTTATTGACGCACTGTCAACCATAACTAACTCCCCGAAGAATCGGAGAAAATCAAAGGCGAGGATTGTTAAGTGTGCAAGTGAAAAAACGAAGCGCGAATCCGCGCGGCATTACACGAGGGTTACACCTCTGACATTTATGAGGAAAGTTACACCCAGAGAAGACAACGGAACGATACGCCGCGTCAACGAGCGTGGAATTATCAAATTATGTATTTCGCGTAACAAGCGTCCGCTTAAATGGCGCTGTTCTTGCTACAAAAGGAAAGCGTTAGATGCATGTTAGAGACTCTTGTAAATTATCCCCATAATTTGCACATAATAAAATGAAGAATAGCCCGCGTTTAGCGCGCGACCGCGTTGTAAAAGCCATTCCGAGTGCTCTCTTCCTTTTAGAGCATCATCTCGTTTGATGATTAATTGGCCTGTCTGGTTAAGAGAATTCTCTGGCGAGAGAATATTTATACACGCGGAGGAGATCGTTAGAATGTTTACGACGTCTTCTGTCCGAGTGTAATCCAGAAAATAAATTGTCGTGTAAACGCGTCGAATTTTTCCTTCGCGATTGCAAATATTGGCCTGCGCTATAAAAATAAATGTTGATGGTAAAATAATAAAGGAGCGCGACATATCCTTCGTGATAGACGACATTGGGAAACTTTCTAAACCCGTACACGGGTATTCTCCTCCCGTAGACCATCGGTCCAGCCCCCCATTAATCTTCGGGACGAACTCGCGACGCAGATGTCGTGCCACTTAATAACGATCCCAACACCGCGAAGCTGATTCCCGTTGTGCACTTTTGACGTTGGTTTCACTTTCGAAACTCGCCGACCGAGAATCCTCTGTCTGACATGTGTCACCGTCGCCGGATTTATAGGCGCGTCACGTTAAGTAATTCTTTGCATAATTGTAGAATCGCTAATTAATCGCGACGGCTCTCGCCAAAGTGGAAAGTCGTATAAATATGCATATGCACTAGAAAAGAAACGTCGCGAGGAGAAAGACGCGGATACGTTACCCGCGTCGAGTAAGATCGCCCAACCGGTTGTTAAAACCATCATATTTGGCTATCGTGCATCTTTGATTATAAAACATTTTCGCATTGTGTGAACTCTTGACCCGTCATTTTCGCGCAGAGAGCGTCCCGCGAGTTTCACCGCGCCTACAGAAGAAACGGAATCGCTAAATTGATATTACACGATAAAAGATATTGCAAATCGCGGATCTTGCGTTAATTATGTTTTTGCCGCACGTAAAGTCTGCATCTCATTAATTGCGCCATCAAGATTAAAAAGATATTTAAGTTATTAAAATTATCAACTCTTGATTGTGCCATCAAAGTGCTGATAGCGCTGTTAAAATTACGTTTGAATTATTAAAATTTTGATAATTATAAATATATATTACGCTTAATAAATTCTAATAAATTAAACAACAGGAAGTTAACGCAATCAAACTTTCTCAACAGACGAATATCAGATCATTCGGTTCTCGCAGATACAAACTTGAAAGCGGCATGCGAGTGTCGAAACTATCAATGAATGTTTAATGATTAGACAAACGCAATTGTGATAAATACATCATATAAAGTCAGCGGCTGCTGAAATTAATTACTCCGCGATAGCAATCAGACTGAGACAGTCAAGCTCCAATTATTATAATCATTTTCCGTACCTCGGTGCCTTCTACATCATTCGGAATCTATCGTGTCATCGAAGCGACCGGTTTACCCAATAAAATTAACTTTTAACGAGCGTGGAATCTCGCGAATATTATAGGCATAAAAAAACGTTACAGTATTAATTAATTAATAGTAAAATACGAAAGATAAAGCCTTACGCGCATAAATGTACGATTAAAATAATTCCGATAAATTTCAATTTCAATAATTTTCTTTAATGGAATCATATAGATCTACGGTATGATAGAAGATTTACGGTGCGTGTTAAAATGCATAGATCGAAAGGTAATAAAAGAACGGCGATATTGAGAAATCTGTCGCGTTAATCAGAAAGAGAAAAAAAAGATCGACCGCGTCTGTTTTACGCACGCGATATCGGAATGGGGAAACAGCGTGAGAGAACTCGTCACGTTGATCCGGCTCGCAGTAACACTGTTGGCACGGAGGAAACAGAAGATGAGGAAGAGAAGAAACCGCGAGAGCACAAGGCGGCACTTTCACTCGACAGTGTGTCGAGGATGCGCACGCTCGTGAACTTGCTTTACTCCGACGGCTCTTCTACCGGCGTGACAAGCATTAAGATCGTGCCGTTACAAACGGCAGGCTTTTATACCGGATTACGAATCGGTTTGACGCAACATCGCCCGTGCAACAACGTGTCTAACCGCGTTTTTTTTTTCCTCGTCATTAACATCGACAGTAAGACTTCCTAGGCGTGTTGAGCAACACAAAAAGCGTCCGTAAATTTATACTAATTATATATGAAGATAATAAGATTGGGGCAAGAACATTCCGCCGCACTCCGAGCGTAATCGCTTTTCTCACGCTCCCGATTATTTTTATCTCGCAAAATAGAGGTGAATATGAAATATTCTAAGAATCACGATGTTCATTTTGATGGCAGATTCTTCAATTAATGTGGAATTTTTCATCTCTAAAATACGATGCATTGATAAAAAAATAAATAGGGTGGCATCATGATTTATTTTCGTTAAGCAATACATCTTGTAACCGAATTACATTAGAAATGAGTAATTAAAACTTGAGATCAACAGGAGTTGCTTTAAAGCCAAAGTAAATATTTTTCGCTTCGGAATTACTTGTAAAAAAATTTAATTTAATTACTTGAAAATTAAAAAACTGTGGCACGTAATAATCGTCCCGAAAACTTTTGCTAAGAAAGATTCGATTTCCAATATAATGTGAATCGTGACACTGTCTTAAGCCTCGAAAGATTTGAAAATGAGTACATCTGTCACGAAATTATCTCGGTTATCGTCATTATTTCTTACGCGAATTTGCATTATCTCGAGATCAAGTTGGACAAACGATGTCGTGTAATGAGCACATTTAGCGGAGGAAATTATTAGGCTGTATCTACTCGATTACCCGATACTCGGGCTAATTTCTGAGGTTTGAGAATAGAATCCTTCAATCAAATTCGACGACTACTTAGCAATTTTACAAATAACCGCATTCAGCAGTCAACGGTGGCTCGACCACTGAACAATCAAACGTAATCGGATAATAAAATAGGAATTAGAAATAAGTTTCCGCGGAGTGCCGCCGACCAGTAACTTAATAATTTTCTCTGCCAAGTGCAATCAATCTCTTTGAGATAAATTTTCTATTATTTTCTATTGGCTCTTTCTAAATAATCAGAGATGAAATGAAACATACGGCATATACAGGTTGTCCCAGATTCGTCATGTATGCACTTTTTATTTACGGATTGTTTGATCAATTTGGTTGGAAAGTAAAGAAAGCTGAGCTTTGCATGTGCAAATACGTGGTAAAACATTACTTTCTTATTCAAAATCACTCGCCCTGAAAATGTCGCAATTCTGAAAATTTATTTTATATTTTTTCTTATTTTATCACTTTTTTTCCTTTCTTATGAAGATTCACTTTCATCGATTGCACGATGTATGAGCACTTTGCATATTTTGGACGTGTGAGTGCAGAAACGCGGAAAAGGAAGAAAGCGTGAAAGCGCGGCTCTCTGTAAGTGTCGCCAAGTACGTACCGATTATACAACGAGTCCTTGGCGTTGAATAACGTGTAAAAACTTAGCGAGAGAAGATGAGCCCTACGGCTAAATGCAATTAAACAAAATGCACTTCACGAAACACCGTCATATCACTAATAAAAGTAAAAAAAATTCCGCTTTATCGCAATTTCGGATTTTTAGGACGATTTTCTTACGTGTCACAACTTTTAATTTTCTTCTATTAAAAAAAATAATTTATTTTGTCCCAATCCTGATTATATCGAAGTCAATTGATAAAAATTAAAAATTCTCGAAACTCTCTTACGTTTTTATCTTAACATTTAAATTACTTTTTATCTTAATACTTAAATTACTGTGTGATTTTATGGCAGCATGTGTGTATGGAATTTGATTTGAGAGATACATCATAAAAATTTATTACAGGATTATTCCTGCAATCTTATGATTGTTGCAATATTTGTCATTCAGAATAACTAAATTTTTGCATATTATCTCGCCATTAAGTCGGAATGGCTTAATAGCTCAAGTATTAAGATGATGAAGTGTCTTTTAAACACTTCGTCGCCTTTCTCATACTTCATTCGCTTGACGTCGTCTCAAAAGATTACATAGCGAGCAAAAAGCGTTTCAAATATTCCACGCCGAGTATATATTCTATCAAATAATGGATATTCGCGATAGACATAATTTTTTCGCGATTACTCGACAAAGAGCTTGGAAAGTTATCGGGGTAGAAACTCGATCGGCTTGGACGATGGAGGAAAGCGTGAAAAATTCAAAGCGTGGGAGCTTGGTTTTCAACGAGCGGCTAAACGCGAATTGTTGTCGACGTGATGTCGGACAGACGCCAACCGGAGATCTACGCCGATTGAAAGTTCAAGGGGGGCTCCTTTGTAAAGAGCCGCGAGGTATACGCGCGCGCGCGCGGCTTTCCACTTTCGACGAGAAAAATTCAATAACAGATAGATTCAGTGGACCGCGTAGCTGCCTTGACGGTTATTAAGGAAGTCGTAAACTGTTATATGCGCATGTTTTCTTGGGCAATTAAGTAAATTAGACAGCGCACGTTTGACCGGATTCACATCAGATATCGATGCGCTTACGAAACTGGCCGGAACTCCTTTCATTCAATGAGAAGGCACGCAGATGGAATCTCCGACTTGTATTACGTACACGCCGTTCTTGATTAGAAGTTCCGTTACTCTTCGAGGCGGTATTCTCGGTTGCCGGTTTCGTAACAATTGTCTGCCGTGTAATACATTTTACCGGATTTGGCTTATCTCGTATTTAAGAATGGATCGCCGCGGTGTTCGAGGAATGGTGTTCGAAGAAAAAAAAAAAAGAAGGAAGAAGAACTTTCTTCCCGCGATTCGAAAAAGATGCCACCTGCTTTCGTGAGGTCACCGAACCCACGGACATCCACACCCAACTCTCCACGTCATCAATTCCTAATAATTACTTTCTCTCGCATATGCCACCGAGTAGAAATATCTTGTCGGCATGATCGTGCGTTAAAATGAAAGATCACAAATTATCAATTCAAATGATTCTTAAAGGTATTCTTCCTAACGGCTGACAATATAATTACACGTTGCAATGATTAAAAAATTTACAAGAATTGATCTATAAGAATTGATTGATTAAAATAATGAGAGATTATTAAGCATTTCATGCATCGTCAATTTCTTGCATGAAGCTAAAGCTCAATGATCGAACGGCAATAAAGATTCAAGCGAATATAATATTCAACAGGAATGAATCAGCATTTGTTCTCTTCTCATAATGTCAAATTTTACTTCGCTATTTAAATTCAAGTTCAATATGCCATATCATTCGAACAATATAATGCTCGCGCAGAAAGTTCGACCGGCGAAATGCTCCGAACGCTAGGCGGATTTTTTACGATCTATGAGATTAATCCGATTAGATTGTTTCAAACTGAACCGTTTCTCTGCCGCACCTTGTGCCAATTTCGAATGAACTCTCATATACGCGTTATCAATCTCTTTTTTTTTTTGGTCCATTGGATCGAATTTATACAAGGAGAGAGCATACAATACGCATGTAGACCGCAACGAGTATAATCTTTCGATTCACAAGGTTTCTCGCGTAATCCTTCTTTTTTTTTTAATGAGTATTCAACACAGAGTACAGCGATCAATTGCGATCGTTATCGAATTAGCTGGCGTGTCGACCCTCTGATCCACTCGCGAAATTAATTCTTAATTAACACGCGACCGTACTACATGACAACTAGGTCGTTAGGCGCGCATATTTATGATGCTTGCGTGTTGCACCTTGCAGACTCGAGCGAGTAAAAATTGAATGGTCCAGCGATTTTACCAGAGCACGTTAATTCATTAATGCGATTCATAACGAGCGTGAGCACTTTGCAGTAAATTGTTACAAGCATTACAATGGACTCCGACAAGTAAGATCGGGAGAAATAGTATTTTGCCGTTTATCCAATTAGTTATTATAAACTACAACAACAATTACAAACAAACTACAAACAATTAGTTATTATAAACTAATCGAATATTTTTCTAATTGCTTGAAATTAATCTCAACAGTCTCTGTATCGTTTGGAACTTTAAAGGCGCAAAGATGAGATAAAAGTTTATTGACGCTTGCTACGAATTGTAGTTCGATAAAATTTTCAAAGCAAACTTTAATCGTATATTTAATTATATACATATTAAATAATTATATAACGAATAGTATATTTTATAAATATGATTTAGCTAGTGCATAATGCATCGTCTTATAAACTCTATCGCGTGCTATCGATATTGTATCGAAATCGGATCATTATTTGCTAATGACAGTTACTTACAGACGTCTTTCTTCAATGAGAACAAGAAAATTACTAATTATTGATAAATAGTTGATAAGTAGCTGAAAAAATTAGGCCAACGGGACAGCAATTAAGTAATTACACAAATAGAGAAGCGCTTAGGTACGCCTCTCACGCGAGCTATACGTACACTTGCAAATCTGGAAATCGCAAAACGTGTGATGGAAGAAGAAAGTGGCCACCGTGAAATGCTCATCACAAGTTTCTTCTGCGTAGAAACTCGTATCTACTCGAGTATCGATTTTTATGCCTTTGTATGATTACAAGTTCATAAAAGAATCATTGTCGAATAATAACTTTATCAATTTAATCTGAGCTTATCGGTTCCAATTTTGTTCGATTTCAACCAACGAAACGCGAGGAAAAATATCGAAGATACGATGTTACAGTTTCTTTCATCTCAACAATTAGGACTTGTCGTATTTATTATACGATATTAATAAATATACTTTTTTTTACTCACTAGATGCATTTATGCACAATCTACTGCGACTTCCTAAATGCTGATCACTTTGCACTGATTGATCGATACTGTATCAGTCACTGTCACTTGTCACGGAATACGTAATCCACCACCGCGAAGGAGATAAGAAGAGAACAGGTGCGGCGAGATAGTCGGACGTAAAGACAGAGAGAAGAGAAAATGGGAAGGTTTTAAATGGGAAAGCTGATCAGTGAATGAATGGCTTCGTACTCACCAAGCGCATGATGCTGTCTGTGCCCACGCTCGTTCGGCTCTTGGCTTTTACTTGGGAAGATGATCACCACGTAGGTAGGTAGGTAGTGATAGTTTCACGAAGGAGGTGGGGTCGCGTGTCTCGCCGCTGTTTAACACGTACGTATGGGTACACATACGACAGGTTCAGTGTCCAGTGTCTCGGCTACTTTCGGCCGCCGCAATCGCCTGGCTCTTTTGAATACCGCCGCATTTCCGTGACCCATTTCCGGTCGCATTCCCGCGCGTTTCGCGACAAGGTAATTGGGATAGATTACGCGTCAGATTGCGGATGACACGCAGGCAGTGGTATAAACGCCTTTTTTATACTCACTTTTTCTTCAAATAAATAAAATTGTATTTTATTCATCTTTATAACTATCAAAGCGCACGCATTGGAACAACTCCAATTACTTGGAAAAAACTTCTGCCAATTATATGTGGAAAATATTTTCAAACTTTCCCGCAGGCAACAGAGTTCTTTTGCAGGTGTTTTTTTTTTATAGACACAAAAATAGCGAAATGTGAGAAGAACAGTATGTACTTCAAGGATTAAAAAGAATAATCAGGAAATAAAGATATAAAAAAATAAAATTATTTGTGCGAACATCTGTTTCTCTCGATGATTCACCTGGCAGATCACGGCTTGTACATTCTAGAGGTAAATTTATTCAGGTAAAATCAGGTAATTGTTATGACGAATGATTTATATACTACTGTAAAGAATTTAATACAATAATTCCTTTGATAATTAACAATTTACAGTAATGTAACAATGCAGAGAGATTGAAATGCGCTGCATCGTTGCATCAGTAGAGTCGAATAGTTCATTGCTACGTCACGACCTTCAGCTCGCCTTCCCTCGCGAAAAACGTCGTAGAGAGGCGAAAACCATGGCGGCGGTACTACTGGCGAAGTTGTGCTTTCGCTGTGTCGTACGCTTTTCCGACCGAGAGTACATGCGCTGAAGGAAAGAAACCGACAGGATTTTACGGGGAAAAAAATGGTACGTGAGAGTGTAACTGGACACAACTGTCGTTGCAAAATAAATGTATAATCAAACGCCGGAATATTTGATAGCGACCTAACCTCATTGGGAGCCGATAGCAATATGTTGCGTCATTTCATTACTTGTATTATTTATCATCGCATCAAATGCATTATTGAGCGTATTTGCTTTACGTATTTTTTGAGATGCGATGTGCGCAATGTTATTAATCCTGTTTAAATTTCTGCAAATCTGTTTTGCACAAGGATAGGTCGTATTATATAAGTGTGTTTTCATTTTTTAACTTGCTATCTATATGTTTAGAAAACACAACAATTGAGGGCAACTATTGCGCGAGCGCTTACTGAGCATAAAGTTTGTTGACTATATTATTTAGCAAGTATTTTTCGATGGTTTCAGTCAGAAAATACAATATTTTTATGAATGAATTTTAAGTGTGCTCACTATTGATTTCTCATTTATCAAACGCTCATTCGATGATTGTATCTTCCTAAGTACAATATTTATTATACTTAATAAACATGTATATGTTTTTTTTACTTTACTAATATTGTACTTAATTTAAAAATTTATTGTATCATGTATACATTTATTATTATCTATAAAATTTTTTATTAAATCTGTGTAAATAATAAATCAATGTTTTATTTTGCAATTTTAGCAACTAAAATATTCTATATTTTACGCATTGGCAGAATCACTGTGGTGAATCTAGTGACGACACGGATGAAGGAGATGATCAAGAAGCGTCTTCTTTGCAAGGAAAGAATTTTGAAGATGCTTTGACATCCTTCAGAGAACAGTGGCAGCGCGAGTTGACAATATCACCTAAGCATGATGCATCAAGGACACCAAAACAGCCTAGCATGGAAGTTGCAAGTGATGAAGCCTCTATTGAAAGCAAGGTATTCTATCTATTGTCTTAAAATGAAAAATTTGTAATTTTTATAATGCTACAGTAATTATTTCAGGCAAAAAATTTATTTCTCAAAGGCATTGAACATGAACAAAGCAGAAAATTTTATGAGGCAATTCAGTTTTATAAGCGCGCAGTACAACTTGTTCCTGATATTGAAGTTCGTTTATACGAGTCAACGAAAGCAAAAGCAAGAGATAAGTACGATGCGGATGACAGTCTTGATACGTTAGACAATGATCTCTCAGCAAATAATGACAATGAAAACTATAATGAAGCTGATGAGGAAGAAACTGATTTGTTTTTAAAGTTGTCTAAAATTGTGAATCCCAATCGTGTATGCTATCCAAAATTTGAACAAAGTGTAAGTCATTTTAATATTTACGGTATAATGTTAAGTATGCGTAATATTTACGGACTGATTTTCTTATCGTCGCGTTTTAATCGAAATTTTCTATGCTCGTTTCAGACAACACATTTATCTGCGTTGCCAATGGAGATAGTACTTTTTATCTTAAAATGGGTTGTGTCTTCGGAGCTAGATTTCCGATCGTTGGAGATGTTCTCAAGAGTATGCCGCGGATTTTACATAACCGCGCGAGACAAGGAGATTTGGCGACTGGCATGCGTTAGGTAAACATTAATAAATATTAGCGCGATTATTAGTTGGCATAATTGAGTCTGAAATCGCTATTAATAGGGTATGGGGTGTGAATTGCGGTACTTGTGAGCCATTGTATCAATCGTGGAGAGACATGTATTTGCACCGGCCTAGATTAAGATATAACGGATGTTACATCAGTAAAACAAGTTATATTCGCGATGGAGAAAATAATTTTCAGGATCGTTTTTATCGACCGTGGCATCTGGTCGAATATTACCGATACTTTAGGTATGTATACGTATAAGATGTACATAATTAGCTTTCTCAAGTTAATAATTTAATTCCCCTCTTCATCAACACTTTTCTTGCAATCAGATTTTTTCCCGAGGGAAGAGTTTTAATGTTAACATCGACTGATGAGGCTCAAAGTTGCGTAAATTCCTTACGAAATCGCGTACCTCGCAATCCGTCAGTTCTGATTGGTCACTATCGATTACACGACAATTGTGTTACACTTATGTTGAAAAAGCAAGAAACTAAAGGAGTCAATTTTGCCTATAGACGAAAAAAAAGAGAGCCGGTACATGATAGTGGCGAACAAACGTTCCACATCGTAAGTAACAAAAGTCAGAGATACCTTACAATGGAAAATCTATGTGTGAGAGTCAGTTAATATGTTTTAATGTGTACATTACTCTAGGAATTTGAGATACAGAACCATCACAGAAGAGTAAACTCGCAATTAAGATGGATAAGTTATAGTATTTTCACGAAATATAAAAACGGAGTGGAAGCAAAAATTTGGTTGAAGGAACCATCTGTAAGAGAATTCAGAGTGTCGCCGATTGGCGGCAGATATCCACCTCTTAAATTTAGCAGGGTAAAAAGTTACACTCAGGAAAGCGAGGCTCCGTTGCAGTAATGAGAATGGTAAAAAAGAAACAAGTTATGAACCCTAAGAGTACAATGTTAAATTATTCTTGCAGAAGAAAATAGGGATATGCAGCGTATTGTCAGTACATTGCAAAACTATAACGTAAAGATAAACGTGTGCAAAAATCTAATTTTAATTAAATATCTACGTTTATATACACTGTTTTGAATCAAGTAAGTAAAAATACATATTTTTGAAGATATTTTATTTCTCATATCACGCTGTATTCTATAACAGTTTCTATTAGTACGTTACACAATCTGTGTATCACACAACTACTCTTTGAAATATATTTATTGTGTCGATGACAACGCATCAATCACATTGTGGTGTAAATAAATTATTTATAGATCTAATATAATTATTTAAGCACTGATATATAGTGCCTTATGTTATTTCGAGATGAGTTGTATGCTTAAGAACCTAACAAAGTATGTATTTGAGAATGTAATTATATGTTTTCTGTGTTAATAATTCATTAATTATTGCTTATCCTTGGCATAGTTAAGTTTTAAACTGTTAATCGAACAAGTAAAATTATGTATAGTATATTGCTTTCACTACTGCTCATAAATCTAAAAAGTCCGATTTTTATTCATGTATATTGATTATATTACGAGTCAATCATCTATAAATCGAAATTTACATCTCTATGCCGTATTTCTGAATTTAAATAGAATAATCTGACATTTAGAACAATTCTTTTATTAATTCAATGTTCAACAACAAATTATCGTGGAATTGAATCCATATCCATCGATAATTAAAAATAGCTTTATTTCTTTTTGGATGTATTATAAAGCGTAACCGATTAAAAAAAATGGACGTCCAGAGATATATTGTATTTTGTTGAGTGACTGAAGATCTGCACGATCCAGAAATTTTTTAACATTTTTTGACCTAACTCGAATATTGCTGACCCAACCCGAGGCCAATAATCTTTTCATATACAATGCATATATTAACGTGATTAAACTTTTGTCATTTTAACTCCATTAAAATTTTATATACAGTCATTATTATAACAATATAAACTGTCATAATTACTTCACGCTATTCTTAAAAACAATCATAAAAATACTGTGTGATAATTCTTTGGATTCTTGAGAAATAAATTCTTTTGCAATTTTTCACATAACTTGTATTGCGATATTTTCATTGTTTAATAATTCTTTTGTGCAAAAATAATAATATCAAAATAAGAATAGCATTTAATTGTTCATACTTGATTCGAATTTGTGTATCATTTATGCTACTACGCTTGTCAGAATCCTCGGGCCTGGGTCCGTGCAGACCTCCAGACTTTGTTATTACATTATGATATTTTTTATGTTTTTATATTGCTTTCCAGGTCATCTTTGATACTTTCTTTCTCTAGGTATCAATAAGTACATACAATTGGCTCTAACAAATTTCTAACTTTTTTTAATAATTTTATTTACATATTCTCCAGGATTTAACCATGAAAAGAATAAGCAAATTATAAGAGAGAAATAACTATTAATAAGATAAAATATTTATTTTGCAAAAAATTATTTTCTACTGCTCAAAGTTGAGCATGATTTTTTAATCTTTTTGCTTTTTTTCTTTTTGTTTTACAAAGAAATATTAATTTTTATTCTACTGTTGGCATGATTGAATATCTCAATGATAATGCGATTATGCGTTTAATTATAACAACCGCAAAAAAAATTATGCTGAAATATTGACATAGAAAAGAATTTAAAAAATGTAGAGTGTAATTAATTTTTAGATTTAGAATTCAAAGATTTTTATATAGATCATCTTGAAGAGTCTGGTGCAAAATGACGCATGACGCTTTATAATAAAAAGATTTTCACAATTTTTAGTATAAGTAAAATAATTTCATTAAAATTGAAAACTGTATAAATAATATATTATCCCAATTGTTTTTCTGGTAAATTTTCATGGATTATTTATAACTCTTTTAACAAATAAAATTGACTTAATAGACTTAATTCTTTCTTGCACCAAACCTATCAGTTTCCGTCAATCCTCCTTAATTTGCTTATTGTTTGCAGGGAAGTTTCAATAAATTCCCAAGTATTGTTAGACATTCGATATGATAAGTAACCGTATGTACTTTGTACTCGTGATTGTACTTAAACCGTCTCGCGATGATCACATAAATTATATAAGTAACTCTGTGTATTAAACTCTGTTATATAATATATATATATTTATATATATTTTTTCTTCAATATCTGTAGATTTATCTATTATAGAATTCAGCACTTTCTGGTCTCCAAATGTCGAAACGCTCGACTAATTGCCAGTTGTTATAGGCTCGGTTTATCACAGACTGCAGCAAACCGTCGCGTTCTTCATGATTGAATCACAATTCTTCGCGACCCGAAGGAAGAGAACTTGTTCTGTTGCAAGTAGACGGATCGGACATCCAGGCGAGGTCCTTCAAGGTTGCGGCATGCATGGAGCATACCGCCAGGACGACCATTACATGCATCACATTATGGGAATTCAGCACTAAATCCAATCTACCGGGAATCCACTTCTCTGGAATGCGAAGAGCGCCAATGGTTGCACCTATCACAGCTATGAGATCCTAGAAATTAATTGCTGTCTTTAATACGGGCATTCCTTGGCATATGCATGACTATTTGGTATCGTATTAAAAATAAAAATAAACCTGTAATATTATATGAATAAGAGCATCGGGTGAGCCGCCACCGATGCCGAAACATCTCAACGTCATAACTAACATCCTCATCAAAAAAGGAGGAGCGAAACACAAACGCCTTTCCCACGGCGACCTCGCAGTCATGGCCTATGAATTACGTAAACGTGTAAAAGTCATTGTAACGAAACGTCAACGTCGGGTCATAAATATGTACGTTACGAAACGACATATCACCTTTAAAAGTCCCCATATACTAAGGAAACAGTAAATAAAAATGCAGCAATACCAAACATTATCGGCGAGACAATGGACTGCCGCTGCCATCATCGGTATAGCTCCTGAAACGAGTTTTGTATGTAATAGAGAAGCGCCTATCGCCACTAATAAAGTTGCTACGAAAGTTCACTCAAAACAGAAGTTGACCAAGAGTATTATTTGTTCACCGAAGGCGTGAAATCGTGCGCATACAAAAAAAGGTAAATCTTTAATAAATTATAAATTACTATTACGCGTCTTTCATAAATTACCGAAACTCTGGCACAGCCATATGCCAATCATGTCGACTTTTAGCAGTGTTCTATAGATGACTTCGTCGTAGTTTACATTCATGAAGAGGTGATACAGAAAGGAACCAATCCATGGACTGACGGCACCGATCAAATGACACCAGGATAGAATTTCTACGAGCGTCCCTTTTGTGTTCCATGGAAGCAGATGTGGTACAGTCAACAACATGTACAGGATAGCGAATCCTGAAATCACACAGGATACCGGATCTTACGAGTAAACATTTTGAAATAAAATCTTTCGCTATCATTTAAAGGCTATCGAATAGCATTTCAATAGCGATTCAATCCATATTTTACCAATTTTGGACACAATAATCGTATTTTATTTAAAATATTTATGTTATGGCTTTACATAAAAATACTGTTCGCCAAAAAACGGATTTTCCAATTTTTTAATTATTACCGCATATCTCGTAAATGATTATTGAATTAATAATAAAAAAGAAATAATATTACAATATGATAATTGAGAACCGAGAAAAAAAAATGATAATTTCGAGATTTCATAAAATTATTCAATTTTCGTAAAAACAATTAAGAATCAAATGGTCTATATTAACGAGCTTCTCCACATATACATCGAAAGCTCTGACCTACTAAGATTTTATTTCACGCATATGTGCGCCGGTCGATACATGAGATTTATATACAGAATGGTCCACCAGAAACAGAACAATCGAACGAATGTTTGATGGTACAAAAAATATATTAAAAATTATTCGTGCAATTTCAAACAACAATGCAGAGAGAATTCTCTGTTTTTTTCATGCAATTTTAATCGCGTTATCCTGTCCGAACTATTGCAGTTTATATTATGCACGAACGACGAGCATGTCGCGCAAAGGGACGATAATCGCATCGTTATTTCCGGATCTTTATTTCATATGTGTGCGAAAATTGACAAATCGTTTACAAACGATAGACAGTATTTGACTGTCATTGGTATTATTAGAAATTTATCAATGAATCGGTTTTACCGGGAATATTACATGAACTGGTTTTCATCGATCGTCCGTTACTCTGCAATGCGTCTTCGTTGAGCGCAATGTTTTCACAGAAGTTGGCCTTGATAATATGCACCTTGACTTTAAAACCCTTACAGGGTTTAATCCTCTTTTCTAACGAATCCAGTTACGAAGATGACAATTCTATTACATGACGTAACTACGTTACGTTACTCTTTTGATGGACGAGAGTTGAATACGAAGATTAATAACAGCTATTACTGCCGTCAACTTCCTCGACAGAGTTTAACAATGACTTGTTTTAATTCACCGCTTTACAATTATTAAAATAACTAATAAAATTATTTAATTGTAGAACTGATACAAAATCACAAGAATCTACTATGAGATTATTAACAATAAATTTTCTGTTATTTATCTAAGCACACACAACGATATTTTTTCGAATACAAAAAAATTATTTCGCACGCATACTTCGTCAACTTCGTCGAAAAGTTTAACGAAGAGATAAAGTTCAATTTTTGGAAAAAAATTTGATTATAAATAGAAACGGATAAAAAATGATTTAGTTATGAATAATGTGTTTGAAAGTTAGTACTTAATATCTTAATATTAAATTATTATAATATTATTATTTTAAGATGTTTAACAAATAATTAAAATCTATCAATAATTTTTTTTCTTATAGCGGTTGATGGAGTCCATCCAGAAATTTGTGCTTCTGGTACACGATCGAATAAAACGAGGAATCGCGCAGGACTGAAGGAATTAATTGTGCGACGTAGAAAGAAATCAAAGGACAAACAAATGACTGATTAAAGCTACAGTGCGGAAAAGAGTAAGGAATGCAATTTAAACAATCGATTAATCACGATGCAGCGTTTTGAAAAATTCCGTCCTACCGTGCGTCAGGATGTTGACGGTCTCGTTGTGGATGTAGAAGAGGCTACCGAGACATTGGCGGATGGTCATAAGCGGTCTGTAACCGGTGAGGATGTGCGGATTGAATTGGAGATGCTGCGGCATGTCGCTCCATCGTCGCAGCAGCAGGATCTTGGACGGCGTCTCCTCCTGATGCGGCATCTCGGAACTGTGCATACTGTCGTCCTGACGCCGTACTCTGTCCGTATCAGTGTCCTGCTGCGACGGGCCCGGCACCGCCTCCGCATGGCGCGGCTCGTCGGCCCGGAACGGCGTTGTGCAACGGCGAACGCGCGGTACGCTGCTGCCTCGGAGAAGAGGATCGCCTCCGGTGGCGAACGCGGCACGAGGTCGCCTCCGAGAGCCAGAGCGCGAGCTCTCAACGGCGGCGACGTCGTCACTGCATCGCCGCGCGCGGCGCTAACCCCCGCTCGCCGGCAGCAGCCGTCATCCGCGCGCGATTCGGCCTCTCTGACGGTCCCGTCGTCAAGGCAACCGCATCGATCCCATCAGCAGTAAGCAACTTCATCACGCGATTTTGAAGCGTGTCGCAGACGTTTGTGCCCAGTGCTCCTAACTAATGCAACTATTTGTGAATCATGTATTGATCGGAAACATTAGTTATATTGGTTACATCCTACGAAAATCATTCTGTTTCTTTTACTTCGAAAATCGCGGTTGCATCGATTCATGCAATTGCATTGATTCTCAGTTAACTGTACTAACTCAATATAGAATCCAAAACGCATGGAAAAAATTTGGAACATTTTTAAAAATTTGCTTTACCTAACAACTTGGTTGCAACTATGTTTCGTCACACTTTTAATATTATATTATATAACACAATAGTTGATGCAAAAAGGGACAATGAATTTTTAATGAAAATTAGTCGATGAGAAACATTGATATAACTGCTTTAAGCAAGATTGGAATTTTAAGCAGGACTCAGCTGTGGTCCAAATTCTGAGCGTTCCATAGATCTTCCACGTGTGACCTATTGACACAATTTCACGACGATAGGGTGTTTTTGAGTTAATATACGATGCCAGATATCGTCTCTTATCTGCATTGCATGCTTACGTTATATATTATGCAAGGTATACATACCATTTCAAGTTTTATCGACAGATCGAACATCGTTTTATGCTTGCAATTCAGTCGCATTAGAAAGATAATCGCATAATATTTTATCAGAATGCAAAAACATAAAAAAGCTCCGAGCAAAACATAAATTCAAACATTTCTTCAAACAGTGGAATGATTTACGCTGCAAATTTTATTGAAAATTGTTCATACATATATTTTTGTGACACAAATTTTCCGATTTGTAATATAAATTTTGTATGTTACAGCCTTTGCCAAGAACTTAGCAAAGAATTTGCCGAAACGATTACGCGAGAATCGCGAGTCGATCGTGGTTTGTTCTCGCATCAAATGCGTCATATTGGCGAATTCAGTCAGTTACTCAAAATCCCGAAGAACGGCAGGAACAGGATCTAGACCTTCGTCGGCGACTTCTCGAAGCCTTCGCGGCCGGTGCCGTCGAGGGACTGCGTTCCGGTCCACAGATGCCTTCCGATCTGTAAGCTAATTTTGCGCGATCTAATTTCTCAATCAGCGAGGTCATATCGGAGCGACGTATACATGACAAAGTCAAGTCTGCTGTTTTAGCCCTCTCTCTGGCGCATACGGCCCATTTTAGGACGCGAGACAAACTCATACAATGGATACCGAAATTCCTGACAGACTCCCCGTCGACCTTCACCCGACATCGAGACGTCCGCATGTCGCGTGCGGGGTGAACTCCACTGTCGCGGCGCAGGCGCCGGAAGGGGACGGCGCCTACCTACAGCGACTGCTTCTGGTGAGTGTTACGCGCGCGATTAAGATGTGTGCAACTTCCGCGCTGCGTTTTCTCCTCAGGCTGTCCCCGAGGAATATACGCGCCGTATCCCGCTGCTCCGTAGATTCGGACAGTTGTAGTCGGCTGTACCTCGCTATGCAGGTAGCCCCATGCTCGTCTGGTTGTCCTTCATGAAACGTATCGGGGTCATTTAGGTGTAAACCTGGTTAACTTGACTTTATTATATCGTCATATACTGCGCTGTATTAGATTTATTTACATTGCACACGAGATATATTGTGTAACTTAGAGAGTGATAGACAGACAGACGACAGTTAACCAGAAATTTAATTGGACCAAAATTAAATCATGCAAATCAACGGTGATCTTGTTTACTCTGGAGTACACTGTGCTACGTGAACCATTGGCGCAAGTCCACGCGAGTCACGTGGCTTTGCGCTAGTGTTCGTATTATCGACGTTCTGTCTACTGAACGAAAATTTATTCTTCCGGAATCGAACGCATTTTCTTCCTATAATCGTATGACAGTAGCAAAGAATATCTCTGCATTAAACTTACTGCATCTATGAAATATTTTGCTTCTAAAAAAAAATTTCTTTCCAATTCGTATGATTCATAAGCAACGAGAATCTATATCAATCTGTACAATTAATTTTTTTAATAAAATTTATTTGTTTTAGTAAAACATTTATTATAATGATGAAAAATTAATTGAAATCACACTGTGATCTCCATTTATGTAAAACGTAAATAAATTATGGTAATGCTTTATCGTAATACAACACTAATGACAAAATGGTAACAAGATTTATTTTTATTGCAGCACACCTACAGAGAATTATGGACGATTCCGGAAGGTGCGATAACGACGACGGCGGCAAACTATTTTTCCCATAACCGTTCAAAGTATATTTCATTTGGCGTAGTAACTCAGGTAATATAACACATAGCATAATTAATTGTAAAATTAAAAATTAAAATACAGCAATTAATTCTGCCGTAACCGATTTTTTAAACGTAACATGTTTTTTATTTTTCATAACGCGATTATTCGCATTTGAGAAAGATTGAAAATCAGTGCAGCTTTATTATTTTTCGTTTCAATAAAACTTTAATTTAAATTCTGACCAACATCTTGAAAAGCTGCAACAAATATTATATGATTCAGATAAATATTAGCATTATTATATATTTACTTGCACAGTATTCTTTGCATATTTTATTATTATTTGAGATTTCTACATGCCCTTGAAGTGCAGTATGCTGTAAACTGATAACAATACCATTACGATACAAATTGATAACAATACTTATTCAATCAACTCTCACAATGTGGTGCCACCTATGAGGGCCATCTCGTCAGTCATCAGTCTGGCTTGTATGTCTTCATGTGTGCCATGCTAAAGATTGTGTGTTTACATGTTCATCTTGACAAATATCTATCTACTGCGATTTTTTGCTAATATTAACTATGTTTTGGCAATTGATAGAACAGCTGATGAAGGATAGCATTGTATGGATAGCTAAGAAATGTTTTTGGAATCAGGTATGCAAAATTTTGCGATTGATACAGAATACCGAGTACATCAATTGAACACACATCGTTCACATGATTTTGATTATTATAATTTATGCAAATTATATTGCGTAGACACGCGAACTAATTATCTCCGAAAGTTTTTAAATTAAATGAATCAAATGTTCTTATTCATGTATATATATAATTACTTATTAAATTATTTTTTAAACTACCAAGTATTTCCTGAAGGTTCTCCTAATCGCTACTAGTCTTTTTATCTTCGTCATTAATCTTGTGCTGCTTATCTGCAATAGACGATAAACGTTATATAATTCTTCAAGCTAACCCATGATTTTAGCAAGTAGTTTGTACACAGTCGATTGTTTTTCATATTTTTTAAAAACAAAATGTTGAAGATAGCTTATATCTAACACAAGTAGAAGAAGGAATTAATTTGCATTTATTATTAATAATGCTGTAATGGGTACGTAAATATTCAGAAACATATAAATACAGAGATCAGAAGTGTGATATTAAATGATATTATAGTTCTACATTAATTAAAATAATCTTAAATGTAGAAGAGTATGTTATGTTTAAATATAGATGAAACTTGCATCAAGAACTCTTCTAGTATTTCAGATAACACTCGGTTGACTTCGTAAGCATGCGCTTCGCTTCGTGTCGTATCGGCTACTCGTAGGGACGGCTCACGTAATATCATTTTTGTATCCATCGTGGTTCAATTAAAAAAAAAATTGTTTTTGACAGAGAAACGCTTGTGTAAAAAAAATTGTATTATAGATTGGAGACACCACAAACATTTTAAAAAATTCGTTCTACTTTACTGTTTATGATAAAGAAAACGATATATTTTAGAATGAAGCAAAATTGTGAAATCTTAATAATTTCCGCGTTTTACACAAAATTCCGCGTCTAATTTTTTTTTAGCTTAGCATCACTTTAACTTATATATAGTACAAACAAAATATTATAAATTATACATGGCATATATTATATATATTGCACTTTTGTTTTATTATTTTAATTGTGTATCTTATAAATAATGTATTCTATAATGCATGAAGTTTGCGAAAAAGGTGCGATAATATCTATTATTAGACATGATTGGACAGTTCTTTGCATTATTAAACTTTATGTAACATTAATTATAAAGCGCCATATAGAGCCACGTGTAGAGCCGTCCCTAGCTCGACGGTCGCCGAGTAGAGCCGACCAGAGGTCTCGCCAATCTCATTGATCCGAGCTCCACGTCGTTGTCGCACAACACTGTGGTACGCCGCGCACTCGTGCTATCGGGCATTTTGTGTTTAGTGGGTTCAAATTTTGGGACCAAGCGAGCCAAGTCACGCATCTCCAACGTAAGTTTTCGCTTAGCAATGCATTCGCATCAGCTGGACTAACGAGCCACCGGGTGAAATCCGATTAGGGATCTGTGCGTGCTACGCTGCATTCGCTTCCTATTAGGTGCAACTCTCTGTAATTCCAAGATGGCAGCCGTTGCTGCAAAGATCCCTTATGGTGTATCTTCTGCGTCCGCGCACATATCTCCTGCACGCTTTTCGCTTGCTTGCTCTGTCCGATTGTCCAAAGGAACGCGCGTCGCCATTCAGCGCTATCCTGTGACTCGTCCGATCCTTTCTCGCGGCTTGCCGAGCGAGCATCCAAGCTTGTCCTCAAGGCGTGATGTGCCGTCATCGATCCCCTCAGCCACGAAACCACGCGCGCGCCTGTACTCACGCCGAAGCACTAACCCAATTTCTGCCCCACACTGCCGATCATATGCATTTCATCATTTCATATACGCATTTCGTTTCACGACAATTTCCGATTAGCGGTATTTTGGCAGGATCGCTCGCGAACGATCATACGAACACGCGCTGTACCGATACGTGTGACGCAACGCGCAATGTGTGCGCCTCTGTTTAGAATTTTAGAAAGCGCAGCCACTTATTTCGCGTCTCGTGCTGTCTTTAGAGACCATTTCGCGTAGCTCTTTTTCGTTCTCTCTGTTTTTCTTTTTCTTTTTTTTTCCTCTCCCCCTGCCGCGGAGTGGGCTAATTTGTACAGTAGTGTCTATGACGCTTTCACGAATGCGAATGCCCACGT